TGCAATATATATTCTACAATACTGGAATGTTTTGGAGAGACATTTGTAAAGCTGAAAGACATAGTAAACATATGACTCAGTTGTGGTTTTGGTTTTAAAAGGTTAAATAATGTTCAGGTCAAGCCATCATGCCTTAAGAGCCTTGGCATGGTGCTTGATGTGGTCCCCAATGAACGATGCAATAAAGAAATAGGAGTGGTCGTAGCCGCCCTGGAAGCGCAGCGTCAGCGGCACCCCTGCCTCGGTGCACGCCTTCTGGAAATTCTCCGGCAGCAGCTGCTTCTCGTGGTAGAACTTGTCGCTGTCGCCCTGCGGATATGGAAAAACGAGAGAGAAAAATATAAATCAAGAGATCGATGGATGAAGTGGTGTCTAAATGTGCCTCGGTGCACGCATTCAGGAATTCCCCGACAGCAGCTGCTTCTCATGGTAGAACTTGTCATTGTCACCCTGCGGATGCGCAACGGGGGGGGGGGGGGGGGGGGGGGGGGGGGGGGAGGGGGGGGAGGGGGGGGAGGGGGGAGGGGGGGGGGTCTAGATGAAGAAGTGCCTTGAGGCGCCTCACCAACTCTCTTTGGTAGCAGCTGCTTCTCGTGATAGCACGTGTCCAGTCCCGAGACGTCTCAAACGTTTTGTGAGGTGTCTCAAAAGCTTCCGTAGCAGCTGCTTCTAAAAAATATTGTAAAAATCGCTCTGAATATAGCGAGGGTGGGGTGCTGTTGCTTGAAGGGGATGGAGTGGGTAACTCAGCATGCTCAATGTCCACCTCAGCTGAGTGTCCACCTCAGCTGAGTGCCCACCTCAGCTGAGTGCCCACCTCAGCTGAGTGCCCACCTCAGCTGAGTGTCCACCTCAGCATGGCAACTCGGCACACAACTAGCTGGCAACAGCCATTACCGCATGGATCAGGTGGATATCCTCATGAATCAGGTGAGTGGGAAGCAACACTCCTTGGCCATCACCCGTACCCATCAGTGTTGCTTGCTTCCCACACACCTGACCCATGGGGATATCCACCCACCTTGTGCCATGGGTGGGGATTAACGAGTGCTGTGGCGTCATACTACTGAGAGGGGAGTTTCCAAGAAACATACCTGAAGGTACAGAAAGCGGGCTTTAAACCCCGTACCTGGTCTATAAGAATGTCAACCTTGGGTCCTGGGTACTGCTTCACGAGCGCTGTAGCATCATACTCCTGAGAGGGAAAGGCAGGGGAAGGAGTGTTGAGGGAAAGGAGGTGCAGCCGAAGGGGTTTGCAGGGAAAGGGGAAGGGGTGTGCAGCGGAAGGGAAAGGGATGTGTGGGGGTGTTTAGGAAAAAAGGGGCTCCTAGGCTGCTCTGTCATCTCCCAAGCACCCTGAAAAGGCCTTCTTCCCCAAGGGGCACTCCGTGGGGTTGCAACCCAGCCCAACCCAACCCAACCCAACCTAACCCAACCCAACTTATTGGACTCACCTCCCAAGCTGCCTTGTCATCTCCCAAGTACCCTGAGAAGGCCTTTTGCCCCCAGGCGCACTCCGTGGGGTTGCAGATGGGGGCAAAAGCAGATACAGACTGGGAGGAGTGGAGGGAACAGAGGGAAAAGGGGAGGAGGAAGGACATGGCAGTCAGGCTGGCAGTTTAAAAATTAGGCTAAAAAAAACAAATGATAACGGGATTGGAGGGAGATTACTGTAGATTAAGGAAGCGGGCTTTACACAAAGAGAGGCGCAATGGAAGCGACACGTGGCAAAAGAGACAAGCGGGCTATGGACATGGAGAGGGGCAATGGAAGAGCAAGTGTTGGAGGGCGAAATAAGAAAAGAACGCATTTAATACTTTTGTTCCGGTTTCGTCACTGCACTCACCTTATACTTGGTGGAATTTCTGAAGAAGATAATCAGCGCCCCGTGTCCCCCCATAGAGTGACCCATTAAGCTGCACCGCTGCATGTCCAGATTAGTATAATGCGCGGATAGAATCCGGTGCAGCTCTTCAGTCACATAGTCGTACATCTGCCAGTTCTTCCACTTGGGCACCGTGGCGTTTACATAAAAGCCGGCACCCACTCCAAAATCCCAGTTCTCTGACTCTCCCTCCACCTTCAACCCGCCTGCAGATTAAAATGAAAGAAATAAGGATAGTAAACTCCGGTGCAGCTCTCTTATCACATAGGAAGAGAGGAGCTCCCTCTTCACTCTTCCGTAATGCGCGGATAGAATCCGGTGCAGCTCCTCCGTCACATAGTCGTGCATCTGCCAGTTCTTCCACTTTGAAACCGTGGCGTTTACATAAAAGCCGGCACCCACGCCGAAATCCCGGGGCAACTACGTGCTCAAAGTTGAGTTTCGAGACTTCTCAAAACTCAGCTTTTATTCTGTGGGCTAGGTGCGAGGTGAGATGTCAGAGACGATGAGGGCAACTACGTGCTCAGAGGTCAACTTGGCTTTTGAGGCGCCTCAAAGGGCGAAACAATGGGCATTATTACACCTAGGGCGAGGAGGTAGCTTACGGGGCGAGGTGTGGTGTCAGGAACAATGAGAGCAACTCCATGCTCTGAGGCAGGAATCGCTGTGAGACGGAGAGGGAGCGTGCGGGGCAGCTACAGGGGGGGCAAGGGGTAATGCGGCTTACGGGGCGAGGTGTCAGGGACAATGAGAGCAACTCCATGCTCTGAGGCGTACTTCTGTGCGAACGACTTTTGAATGAAATTCTCGTCCGTGCAGGTGAGACCTGACAGCCAGTAGATGACCTGTGAGAGGGGGAAGGGAGGGAACAGACGCATCAAGGCAAGGGCAAGGGCGATGCTCTGAGGCGTACTTCTGTGCAAAATATTTTTGAATGAAATTATCGTCCGTGCAGGTGAGACCTGACAGCCAGTAGATCACCTGTGAGGGGGAGGGGTGTGTGGGGAGGGTGTGTGGGGACAACGCACGAGGTGACAGGCGCCCAACACTCGTCCGTGCAGGTGAGACCCGAGAGCCAGTAGATCATCTGTGAAGGGGAGAGGGGAGGAAGAGGCAAGGGGAGGGGAGGGAACAGACGCCTCAAGGAACAATGAGGGCGACCCTGTGCTCTGAAGCGGGTTTTTGCGCCAATGACTTTTGGATGAAGTTCTCGTCCGTGCAGATGAGGCCTGAGAGCCAGTAGATCACCTGCCAGGGGAAATGCTGTAGGAGGAGGGGAAGGAACAGGGTGGCGGAGTGGGAACATAACCTGCCTGCAAACGACTTTTGAATGAAGTTCTCGTCCGTGCAGGTGAGACCCGAGAGCCAGTAGATCACCTGCAAGGGGAAAAGGGTGTGTGGGGAGGGTGTGTGAGGACAACGCACGAGGTGACAGCTCGAGATGGATGAAACACGTGCAACGATGTGAGATTTCTATACGCTTGCTCGGCGCGAGGAGGTAGCGGCGAGAGGCAAATAGATGGAGACTCTTCATGGTGCACCGGCAGACGAACGAGAAAACGTGAGATTAAGGAAAGAAAGCGGTGTCCTTAAAACTCACGGGCACGCGCGAGGAGGTAGCAGCGGGCGGGAAGTAGATGGAGAATTTCATGGTGCACCCGAGCGTCGCGCTCTCGTGCTCGTAGCGCTTGTTCACTTTTTTAGTTCACTCAACTACCAAAATTCGTACCGGGACGCGTGAAGAGGTGGCGGCGGGCGGGAAGTAGATGGAGAATTTCATGGTGCATCCGAGCGTCGCGCTCTCGTGCTCGTAGCGCTTGTTCACGCCACCGAACATCTTATTGGACGAGATCTCCTTGGGCGCCGCCATTCCGAACGCCGCAGCTGCCGCAAAGCTTCGAGTGCACGTGGAGACAACAGCTTGAGACGCGGGGACGCTTTGCGTAGCAGAGAAGCGCGAGTCGCGTCGAGCTGCAACAGAAATGCAAGGGCTCAGAGAATGGACAATTCGATCTGAATCGCGAGACTGACGGACGACTCCGGCAACGGCGGTGCGGCTTTCGCTAAGCGGCAACGAGGCGGCTGGTGTCTGGGAAAGCGCGGGCGACGCGACAGACGAAGGGCGACAGGGGCTGAAACCCACAATAGCGGCTAGAGAGCACGATTGGTGGAGTCTGGAATAGCTAGCATCGGTGGGGGAAGCGCGGAAGAGGGATTGAATCCCCGGAGCTATCCGCTGGATGCGGGCTGCAGACATTCAAACGGCCGGCTCAAGTGGAGTGAGATCGGAATGAGGTCGGTGATGTATGGAAATAGAGTGGTGACGGTCGGTGGTGTACGGCACGGCATGCAGCTGTGAACGGAGAGCAGAACGGATGACAATGAAGTAGATAGGTGCGTGCAGATTGGAATGGGAGGAAGTCATGGGATGGGTGCATGCATGGCTGGCTAGGTTAGGGAGGTAAGTCGGAATCTCCTGGAATCTGGTTTTGCGATTTCCCTGGGTCGTATGCCTTTTCAGTAGTATCGAAATTGTCCTGTTTTTTGCAGCGAAGCTGTACACATCACTTGTAATCAGGTCAGAACTACGAAACCCCGTAACTCCTCTGGTGACAATGTCAGGGCGTATCTTTAGTTCCAGTCATGGGCACTGTTCCGGGAATCCGCATTTTGCGGATGACTCAAACAACACAAAACACCAATTTGGATTCACTCCCTTCATGCGACCCCCAAACTGGCGCGTGGGTTTTCCCGCCTAAAATTCGGGCCCCACGACAGTCGCATCCAATTGAGACGCGCCATTCCATGACACACGAACTCCTTCATCTGGTTGAGCGACACACACCCCACCCTCAACTCCGTCAAAATTCCCGGTGGGTAGAGTTACATGCAGATCTGTGCAGCTCCAGATCCCAACCCAACCAAACATCCCTCTTGCAACTTCCCCACGCAAGGGTTTCCAGCAGTTGGGCAATCAGCACAAGCATGAGCAAACAGATCTCCCTCACAAGTCTTCCCGAGCTTCCACACCAGCCCGCTATCTACGTTTTTAGCAATGCCTCCACGTCGAAGCGCACGCGGCAAGGGAAATGAGAAACTTAGCGACGATGAACCGATGGAAGACCCCCCGTATGTCGCATGGATGAAGGAGCAGCAAAATCAGGGGAAGCCGTCCCCTTCCATCAAGCGTATTGCAAAGGCAAAGCGCGATTCTGCTGGCGCCAGCACTAGCAGCGGTCCTGGGCATGACGACGACGAAACTGGGGGCGACACGGACATCAGCGACGACGATCTTGAGGAGATCGTGTCGGAATCGGACAGTGATGCCGATTCCGACAACTACAAGGCCGGCAGTGACGACGAAGAGGAAGATTCGGACGGTGCCGAAGTAGGAAGCGGTGACAACCGCAGCACACGTCGATCGAAGAAGGAGAAGCGCCCGCCGGCGAAGCGCAACAAGCGACTGTGGTCGGACGCAGAGCTGACATCACTCGCGGCCGCTCGTTGGAACACGAAGGACGACCTGAAGGCGATGCAAGGGAAGCAAGGGAGCCAGTACTGGAAGAAGCTGCAAGTTCATATGGTTGAGAGGGACGACACGTGGGACCGCGATGAGGGGCAGATGTCGAATGCGTGGAAACGTCTCGAGAAAAAGTACCTGAAAACGAAACGGTCGGAGACGCAAAGCGGGGGGGAAGCTATTAGGAAGAAGCCATGGTGGGATTAAGTTTATCATCTCAAGAAACACTCGGCTAAAGCCAATGCCCACGCACTAGACGGAGGAGGTGCCGCAAACGTTGACGTCCCTGCGTACGCTACCCTGCCCAGCACCAACGTCGGGGAGACCTCGGCTCCTCCCTCGCAGAGACGTCAACGCGGAAACCGACATGGAGCGGCAACACAAGGTGAGTTGTGCCCGTGCTTCAATGCCTGCCCAGTGACTCCCAGTAGCAACATTAAAGCCATGCTCTTTAATACTATATTTCACTGACAATCATACAAACAAACATCAAAACCGCCTTATTGCCATACGTCCCTACACCCACCCCTACAGATGCTGTAGTCACACCTCCACCCAAACGAAGGCGGATAGACGAAACCGCCACAATGGCAGCAGCAAAGCTTGTGAGCGACGCCACTCATTCCTCCGACGCGATGGCGTTGCGCCAGCTTCAAGACTCGATGCAACTACTTGTCGCCGCCATGAACATGGCGGCGATGCAGGCTGGCTTACGACAGCAGATGGCCAGTCTGCCCGTACCACCTGCGGCGCCCGCGACTACGCCGCCACCAGCACCTCCTGCAGACGCAAGCGACGCCAACATGGCGGGGTCGGAGGATGTGGCGGAGCAGCACGAGCCTTAGCACGCGGTGGATGACACACGGTGACGCCGGAGGTAAGCACGATGGATGTGCTTGCCGAAGTGGTGCCGGCGAGCGCGCAGCTCGGCAAGCGTAGGGTTGTCTAGGCTCCGCCACTCGTACTTATCCATGCCACACCAGCCATTCGGGAGTCCAGCCCATATATAGCGGCGGGGGTTGTTCGTTTTCATCCTGGGCGTACTAACGGTCTGCAGCATGTTGTGCAGGATGATGATACAGGCCGTCCCTGCACAAACGCGCCAGAGTTTGCTCTCATGACTGCGCGCGAAGAGCCTCCAGCGTCCCTTCAGTGCGCCAATCGTGTGCTCGACCACCATGCGCGTAGCAGACTGGACGTAGTTGTACGTCTGCTCCCACTTCTTAATGAGGCGTCGTCGTGGAGCGTGAAGGGGGGTGAGCATGTAGGACTTCAGAGGGTAGGCCGCATCCCCCACAAGCTGATAGGGGGCGATTTCCCCACTCTCTAGCCTGCCATGAAGATCTGATGTAGAGAAAACACCTTGATCATGCATTGAGCCAGGATTGCCAACCATGTAATCCCATATGACACCCTTTGAGTCACATGTAACTTGAAGTTGCACGCTATAGACCGACTTGCGGTTGAAATAGTCACCACGGTGGGCCTCCATGCCCTTTATCTGAATGTGTGTCCCGTCAATCGCACCGATGACGTTGGGCACTCCTTTGATTGCGCGGAAGTCGAGTGCCATCTCCTCTCTCACTTCCTCCGGTGGGAACTGAACCCAGTCGCGCTTGAACTTGCGGGGGAACCACACCAAGAAGGCATATACCACGCGGTGGATGGGTCCTCTGGACAGTCCAAACATGATACTCATGTCGTGATACGTCATAGCACTTGCAACGTATTTAATCGGGATGAGACATCAAAGAGACAATGGAACTTCGGCCACCTCGACAAAACGAGACATTGGAAATTTCATTTTGTCAGCAATGATGTCGAGAACTTCGCGCGTAATGCGGAAGGTATCTTCGAACTCCTCGTCAAACATCGCTCGGATCTCCTCGGCCCATTCTGCGACCCGTGCCTGCCGAGTCCGTTTCTGACTCTCGCGGCGCTCGGTTTCACGGAGCACGCGCTCCTGATCCACGGTCTGTGCCTTAGGGAGGAGTGTGGATATCCACTCTACAGCGGCTAGAGAAACTACACGCTGCCACGAGTTGAGAAGGTACTCATGCCACAGGTGTAAGGCAATACAAAGTATGAGCACCTGTGATGTGAGCATGTTTTATGGCAACACGATTAGCGACGATGAAAGATGCATGCGGCCATCTTGAGCTGAAAAGTGCTCTCAAGTCGCCCGCTACGTTGGCACCGCGGTGGGAGAAAGGAGCCTTGATGTGGAGCTGCCTTGTGCTTATAAACATGGCGTCCGGAGAGTGGGAGAGCGAGAGGTGGTGTGGTGTCGGGGCTTGTTTTGGTGAGCGTGGTCACGTCAGTTGTAGTTGGAAGTGTTGGACGTTATTGGTGTAGATGGGGACATTGACGGGCGTGAGATGAAAGTAAACGTCCGTCTTAAGAGGGCGACCCAACCTGGGGTCGCAGCTCAATCTGATTGGTAGGAACACATTGAACACCCCAGTCGCATGCAGTTTCCTGGATGACCCGAAGTTCGAACCGCGGGCGCTTCCAGAGTCCACTTCGGGTCATGCGCTAAATGCGGATGCCCCAAACAGTTGAATGAACAGTGCTCATGACCGGAACCAAAGATACGCCCTCAGCTTCACGGATGATTAAGAACGGCCCTAAACCAATCTAGCTTGATTTGGGCTTGGAAAGCAATGAATCGCAGAGCGTCGTCTGGTCAGTTCCCAGGGACCATCATTGATTGGGCACTCGTACTGATACTGTTTGCGATTGGCGAAATCTGTTACTGCGAATTGGGAACGGTCTTTGGGCGATGATGAGCCCTGTCGCCCGCGGCATTTCAACCGCCGATTCCACTCCGCCAACCGTTCCTTTGCGCCAAGCCTACGTACCTGTGCGCGTGCGCCATTTCCCCTCTCCCCCTTGGCATATCTGTTGACTTCAAGGCTGCGCACACTGGAGTTTTGCGCGGCAACATCAAATAGGTTTCCGAACCATCAGGTCTGGCACTGATGAGTTCAGAGAATTCGAGTACGGTTTTGAACGATACAGCGGTTAATCCAGTGGTCTTTAGTGGTAAGACAAAGTATGTCTCTGATGACATGTTTTGCATCCAATGAGAAGTTTAGAAGCTCCAAAAAGCCACTTATCGCCCTCGTGCGGCGAGTGGCGTGCCGCCTGCCTGCTGCGTGGACAGCAGCTGGTCGTTGCCTAAAATATTCTTATCTATTACCCGGCGACGCTGGCCATTCACTTCCTGTTATTCCAGCTAACTGTCTGTCACTCACCTATCGCTATTTCGGCACACTCTCATTCGCCCACTGTGTAGCGAAAGCGTCGTCACTGTCTGACTGAGACTCTTAGTCGCCATGGCGGACGGAGGCTGGGGCGTTCGACGCCGACTGGCCATCTGGGAGAGCCGAGCGGACTCGTTCCGCGATAAATCAAGGTACCTTGATAAGTAGGACCCCGTCAGAACGAACCGCGAACGACGAGCCGTTAATGAGGAAATGTTAAGGACGAACCGTCACGGGCGAGCCGTTAACGAACAATGTTAACAATAACTACGAGCGAATTCTTACAGCCTGATGGTCATCTATGTATTGCTTTTCTTAGTATCTCCTCCCGCTTTCGCTGTTTCCGTTGACACCTCGCTTTCCATTTCCCAGCGCGGATGCTGTACGAACATCCACATCAGGTTCGGGAACTCCCGGAGCTCCCAGCGGCGCGCCTGCGCAGTACGGCGCGTCGACAGCCGTTGGATCAACGGCGACGGCGAACGGAGGGCGGAGATGGGAACAGTGGGATCAGACGTACGACAACGTGCATTTTTCCACTCCGCGGGATGGCCAGTTCGGTGGTCCCGGCGCGTCGTCTAGCTATGTGGTAAGTATTACCTAATGCGGTGTATTGGGAATGTCAAGGTTAGAGTATTGTAGTTTTTGTACAGTATTTGTAATTGGTTAGTTGGGGTAAAACAGAGTCCAACTGGCGATTCCAAGCGGCCAGTCTATCAGCTCTCTGAAATCTGTCTGTCCTTTGCTCCTCCTACCACCTGCCGTTTCTATGCGGTAGTATCCCTGGGTACTAATCTTTCAAAGTGGCACTCTCCCCAATTACCCCGTCCTCGTGTGGGGTATTTGTTTTCCAGCCTGAAGACCCTCGCTACACGCCTACTGCCAACCCGCCTGGTTACCCCGTCCCTGGAGCAGGCACTTCTGGAGCAGGTGCATCTGCTGCTACAGCTACTGCTGCTGCTGCAGGTGCATCTGCAGGTGTAGCCTACCCTTCATCCCGCAGCCGAGGAGCAGGGGGAAAGCACCACCGCCATCACCACCACCACCATCATCAGCACCAACCCCACCAGCAGCCGCACCAGCAGCCACACCAGCAACCCCAGTACCCTAACCTTCCCCAGCAGCAGCAGTACTACGCTGGGGTAGCCGGCGGTGCAGGGGGAGGGGCAGGGGGAGGGGCGCGCAGGGGAGGCGGACCCCGCCGCATCAGCCCCTCCTACTCCAACGAACCAGACGCCTCGGGTCTATCCGGGGGGACGCTCGGGGGAGGCGGAGGCGGAGGCGGATGGGGAGGCGGAGGCGGAGGGGGAGGGGGGTGGGGCCAGGGGAGGGGGGGGATGGGCGGGGCGGGATCCGTGGCGGGGGAGGCGGAGGGGGTGGGGGAGGGGGAGGGGGAGGAGGCGTGGGCGTGGTGGCGGGAGATGTACCAGGTGGAGTGGAAGCCGAAGGAGGTGTTCTTCAAGTTCCGCCAGCGCTTCATGCAGTACAAGCTCGGGGCGAACGTTGAGCTCAGGCGCAGGCTGGATCCCCCACAGCACTCCGCCCTCTCCCTCTCCCCGAAAGCAACTCCTGCGCCCAAGCACAACCCACTCTCTCTCTGGGGGTTTCAGGTGAGCAGTGAAATGAGCACTGGGGTGGTGGGTGGGTGGTGAGATGCGCTTCATGCAGTACAAGCTCGGGGCGAACGTGGAGCTCAGACGCAAGCTGGATCCCCCGCAGCACTCTGCGCTCTCCCTCTCCCCGAAAGCAACTCCTGCGCCCAAGCACAACCCTCTCTCCCTGTGGGGATTTCAGGTATGCAGGGCAGCAGGGACTGTTTGAGCAACAAGGATACAAAAACCTGGACGATTTCTGGAGACGACTTTTGAGGCGCCTCAAAAGTCGGTGTCTAGGTGAGCAGGGCAGCAGGGACTGTGTGAGCGACAAGGATACAAAAGCCTGAACGATTTCCGGGGCAAATGAAAACTTCCAGTTATGCAGGGCAGGGGCTGCCTTAGCAACAAGGGTTCAATTCAAGGACCAGAACGAGTGGCATTAGTGGATGTGTGTCTGTCTGTTCCTCCTCCCGCTGCTGCCCACAGGTGAACAGTGGGAGCCCGAAGCTGGTGTTAAAGCCCAGCATCACGGACTGCAAGCGAATTCCGTTTGTTGGCCTGTCTTTCTGTCCACTCCACCCCTTTTCTACCAACAGGTGAACAGCGCAAACCTGAAGCTAGTCTTAAAGCCCAACATCACGGACCGCAAGTGGAAGGTCATATTTGAGCCGCAGCGGGGAGATATCCGCTTCCTCACCCGCAAGATTCCCATCATGGGGCTGCTCAACCTACAGGTGTGCAGTGCGGTGCAAGGTGGTACAGTGCGGTACTGTATGCAGTTTGGTGCTGTGCGGTGCAGTGCAGTCAGGTGCGGTTGTGGCTGGTGTTAAAGCCCAACATCACCGACCGCAAGTGGAAGGTGCAGTGCGGTGATGTGCGGTGCTTTATGGTGTAGTATGGCCAGTTGTGGTTGTGGTATGTGGGCCATCCCTTGATCTGACTCTCCTATTCTTCCCCACCCCCCAACCAAGCCCCCATCCCTTTCCCCCTCCTCTCTCACCCCTCCCTCACCCTTTCCTCACCTCTCACCCCTCTCTCTCAACTTCTCTCCCACAGGTGGGCATAGGGCACGGCTTCAAGCACAACACAACGGGGTGGAAATGGAAACTCACCTCTGTGCCCACTTTACCCCTTTACTTCTTCTCAACCCCCTGGATTTCACCCCTCACCCCTCTCGCCCTTCACCCCGCCTTCTTGATCTCGGCCCTTGTCCTGCACAGGTGGGCATTGGGCATGACTTGAAGCACAAGGCGACGCGGTGGAAATGGAAACTCACTACAGTCCCCACTTCGCCCGCCTTCTCCCTCCCCATCCCCCTTATTTCACCCCTCAACCCTCAACCTTCACCCCGACCCCGTTCTCTCACTCCTTTCTCTCCTGCACAGGTGGGCATTGGGCATGACTTCAAGCACAAGGCGACAGGGTGGAAGTGGAAACTCACTACAGTCCCCACTTCGCCCGCCTTCTCCCTCCCCATCCCCCTTATTTCACCCCTCAACCCTCAACCTTCACCCCGACCCCGTTCTCTCACTCCTTTCTCTCCTGCACAGGTGGGCATTGGGCATGACTTCAAGCACAAGGCGACAGGGTGGAAGTGGAAACTCACTACAGTCCCCACTTCATCCCCTTTCTCCCTCCCCACCCCCATTCTCCCTTCCCACCCATCTCCACACCCACCTTCTCCTTTCCCACCCCCCTTCTCTCTCCCCACCCGTCCCCTACTCTCCCACAGGTGGGCATAGGGCACGACTTTAAGCACAATGCGACGGGGTGGAAGTGGAAACTCACCTCCGCGCTGAATGGGAACACGCCCTCGGAGATTCGTTACAAGCACAACCTACCCGTGTGTCCGGGTGTGGACGTGCGTGTGGGGTGGAATGCCGAATACGTGCTGCCAGACATGCACGGGTGAGTCTTACTGGCTTGTTTCAGTGGGGGGCATGCATGAATGGGGGATAAGCACAACCTGCCCGTGTGCCCGGACGTGGACGTGCGCGTGGGGTGGAATGTGGAATACGTGCTTCCGGAGATGCACGGGTGAGATTTGGAAGTGAATGGGTGACATGACATGCCCAGCATCCACAAGTGGACGTGCGTGCGGGGTGGAATGCCGAATACGTGCTGCCAGACATGCATGGGTGAGTCGTCTTACTGGCTTGTTTCAGTGGGGCCATGCATGAATGGGGGACATGCATGAATGGGGGGCATGCATGAATGGGGGACATGCATGAAGGGGGGACATGCATGAATGGGGGACATGCATGAATGGGGGACATGCATGAATGGGGGGCATGCATGAATAGGGGGCATGCATGAAGGGGGGGCATGCATGAATGGGGGACATCCATGAATGGGGGACATGCATGAATGGGGGGCATGCATGAATGGGGGGCATGCATGAATGGGGGACATGCATGAATGGGGGGCATGCATGAATGGGGGGCATGCATGAAGGGGGGCCATGCATGAATGGGGGACATGCATGAATGGGGGACATGCATGAATGGGGGGCATGCATGAATGGGGGACATGCATGAAGGGGGGGCATGCATGAATGGGGGACATCCATGAATGGGGGACATGCATGAATGGGGGGCATGCATGAATGGGGGGCATGCATGAATGGGGAACATCCATGAATGGGGGACATGCATGAATGGGGGGCATGCATGAATGGGGGGCATGCATGAATGGGGGGCATGCATGAATGGGGGGCATGCATGAATGGGGGACATGCATGAATGGGGGACATGCATGAATGGGGGCGAGCACAGCCTGCCTGGGGCGTGGACGTGCGCGTGGGGTGGAATGCGAATATGTGCCGCCCGACATGCATGAGTAAGTCTTCAAAGCGTTTCTGGAGCATACATACATGGGTGAGTTTTGAGGATGTTTGGGGGACATGTATGGGTGGGTCTTGAAGGGCTTGGTGACTTGGTGCAAGCATGTGTCTTGGTGTTTCTGCTTCCATCCGGTGTCCTCATTTTCCCTGGGCGTTTGCGCCTTGAAGAGGAATGGGTGAGTGCATGGGTGGGTCTTGAAGGGCTTGGTGCAAGCACATGTCTTGGTGTTTCTGCTTCCTTCTAGTCTTGAAGGTGTTTCTGCTTCCTTCTAGTCTTGAAGGTGTTTCTGCTTCCTTCTAGTCTTGAAGGTGTTTCTGCTTCCTTCTAGTCTTGAAGGTGTTTCTGCTTCCTTCTAGTCTTGAAGGTGTTTCTGCTTCCTTCTAGTCTTGAAGATGTTTCTGCTTCCTTCTAGTCTTGAAGGTGTTTCTGCTTCCTTCTAGTCTTGAAGGTGTTTCTGCTTCCTTCTAGTCTTGAAGATGTTTCTGCTTCCTTCTAGTCTTGAAGGTGTTTCTGCTTCCTTCTAGTCTTGAAGGTGTTTCTGCTTCCTTCTAGTCTTGAAGGTGTTTCTGCTTCCTTCTAGCCTTGAAGGTGATTCTGCTTCCTCCGTGTGTCCCCAATTACCCTTAGCTTTTCCGTCTTGCTTCTACTCATCATCCTCCTTGCTCCTGTTTCTTGTTTGTTTTTGTTTTTTTCTCCCTTCTGTTACCTATCTCGTGTCGTTCCCCTCCCTCCTATGTTTTCCCTCCATTCACCCACCCACTTGCATCCCATCATCAGAGCTTTGGGAACAGGGGAGCCCATTCTGGGGCTGAATGTGGGACGGCTGTATGCGTCAGTGGAGAGACTAGAAGCCATCTTCACCTCCATTGACTGACGATAACCGCTCTCGACCCTTGTTCACCGCTGTTGACCACTGTTGACCGCTGTTGACCATGGTGAACAGCTGTTGACTGACGTTGGCTGTGGTGCTGGCGATCGCTGTACGATGTTGTTGACGTGGGTAGTTGATGGTCACAATTGTTAGAATTTGAAGTGATTGAGTAGGATCGTAATACTTACCGTCATCGCCCGGATATAAGACATATATGTCTTATCTCATACACTAAAAAAAATGCTTGGGTTATCTTGTATTTGGGGAGGTTTTGGGTGTCTTATAGGTCTTATAAATGGAAACATTTTTAAACTACTTAGAAATACTTTCACGCATCTTCAAAAGAGTTTCTCATTAAGAGTGTGGATATTGCGAAGGTGCCACTTCGGCAACCATTGTTCGGGACGCCACGTCATCCCGAATACTTGCAGAGGCAAAATTGGTAGTTCATGAGTCAGCACGTGGCAGAATTCGCGTGTCGCAAGGGTAAAAATGTACGCGGTATTTCATTTTTCACTATAATACATTGCAATTTCTATTATAAGACACATATGTCTTATCTCGTACACACAAATAGGTGTCGTATAAAAAGGCTAGCCTGTTTATAAGAGACACCCGTATAATAGACAACCCCTGTCTACTATTCAACACTGTCTTATATCCGGGTGATGACGGTAGGATGGTAGCTTCTTGTCGTAGCGGAAGTCTTGTATGAATTAAAGCCAGTTAAGGAGGCTTTGTCTGGACTTAATAAAAGCCCATGTAGTGATATGTTTCAGGATCAATGTCTCTGAAATCAGATATATTATAAAATGACAAGCATACATAATATATAGCTAGAGTAAAGTACTTTTTCGCCTATTGTACTGTGCTATTCTCGCTATTCCTGTTCTGAAACGGTACGTGACTATTCGCGAGGCCTATAGCTACGTGCTGACGTCATCCTAGGGCGCGTAGCGCTTTGCTGACGTCAGCCTATCGGTACTTTACTATTACGTGCTAAGCCTCGCACTGTACTAACTGTACTACACAAATTCCTTGAAGTGCTTAAGTCTCGATATTATCTCAACAACAATGAGACGTGATACAGCTGTTGACGGTACACCTACATGTGCAGTGCACACATCTTAGCTGCAAGCTGTAGTCTGCGTAGTATCATGTGTAGTACAATAGACCTGTTTCCTATTTTCTAAGGTTAATCAGTGTTAGAATTTGAAATGACTGAATAGAATCGTATATTTAGGATGGTAGCTTCCTGTTGCAGTGGAAGTCTTTGTATGAGTTAAAGCCAGTATAGGAGGCTTTGTCTGGACTAGTATGTAAAGCCCATGTAGTGATACGTTTCAGGATCAATGTCTCTGAAATCAAGTACATTAAAAAATGACAAGCATACAGAATACATAGCTAGAGTAAAGTACCTATTTGCCTATTGTACTGTGCTATTCACGCTATTCCTGTTATGAAACGGTACGTACGTGACTATTCGCGAGGCCTACAGCTACTTGCTGACGTCAGCCTATCGGTACTTTACTACCGGTATTACGTGCGAAGTCTCGCACTGTACTAACTGTACTACACGAATTCCTTGAAGTGCAAGTATCGATATTATCTCAACACTCCCCTTCACTTCTAGGAGTTTAATGTAGTCACCCAGTTGCCTCAGAAACGCCGCTGAGCTTGTTGCAGTGGTGAAATTTCTGACGTGTCAGTTTTTTGGTAAGCGAGTCAGCTGCCATGTCACCGGTGGGACAGTAGACAAGGCGCATTCTCCCCTTGTCGATCGCATCCTTGACGAAGAAGTAACGCAGCGAGATATGTGTCAGAGGTCCACTGGTGATTCCCGATTGATCATAGGGAAGGGTTACAGGCATGTTGGCCTAGGGGGTTATGGGCGCACTGACCCGCTACTTAACAAACCCTTTTATCCAAATGGTATAGTGGTTGGGATTATGACATGGTATCAGAGCGAAGGTCTCAGGTTCGAATCCCAGTGTGTGCACTTCAGACATCCCAGTGCAGGGGGGTGTCAGAGGTCCACTGGTGATTCCCGATTGATCATAGGGAAGGGTTACAGGCATGTTGGCCTGTGGGGTTATGGGCGCACTGAACCACAACTTAACAAGTCATTTTATCCCAATGGTCTAGTGGTTGGGATTCTGACAATATGTTTCGTGCGATTGACGAAGCCGGGCTTGTTGGCAACAGTAATTGCACTCTGGTTGTCGCACTGCAGCGTGAACTGATTCGGCGTGACGAATTTTGCTTCATCGAGCAGTTCCTGTAAGTATAAACCTTCTCGGGTTGCAGCACATGCAGCAATAAACTCTGCCTCAGCAAGTGCTTAAGTATCGATATTATCTCAACAATCAGTATAATAGTAATGTATTCTCGAAGCTTCACGTCTTCAAGGCCCTTGAGCTTGACCGAGGCTATAATGAAGTACAATGAATTTAATTATGGTACGTATGGTAACATAAGGTATTGAATAAAATTATTGCAGTGCCCCCACCGTACTGTCCCAGCAATGGCAAATTTCACAATAACATACATTTTGCTGCTGTGGCAATGCTTTGCCATACGGCATGTAGTGATTGCTCTGTTACCTGATACCATAGCAACACCAGGTATGTCATCCAAGACACAGCAGTAATACCACAGGCAACTCCTGGCGATTGCAGGCTTACAGCATGAGCAGGGGGGCGGAGGGAGGCACCTTTGCCACGAGAGTGTTGTTATTCCACCCTGCGGCAGTCGCCTTGGCCAGGAACCACTCAAACTCCCTGCCTAGCGCATGTAGAGAGGCCTGCACAAGACCAATTATGCCCCTCACTCAGGCAGCTCCGGGTTACAGGATGAGGAGAGGTGCAGAGGGAGGCACCTTGGCCACCAGCGTGTTAGTGTCCCACCCTGCTGCAGCCGCCTGGGCAAGGAACCCCTCAAACCGACTGCCTAACGCATCCAACGATGCCTGCAGAATGCTAATGTCTCCACTGCTGCTGCCGTTGCTTCTGTCGGTGGCATCAGAGTGACCCTCCTCCCCATCTGCCCCATGCTGTCTGCTCGTCCCCCTCATCTGCTGCTGCAGCCAACACGCCTGCCACACGACCCTCAGAACCGTCCCCTTGGATGCTCCTTGCTGCAGTGAGTCGTGGAGGGTAGTTGGGAGAAGGTGGAAAAACGTTGAGTAAGAGGGTGAGGGGGAGAGTAGGGTTTGGGGGCCAAGAAAGGGTGGAGGTAAAACGGGTTTGGGTGAGTGTGTGAAGCGCATGTGAGTTTTGGGTGAGTCGACTCAACTGTCACCTCATTGGAAATAAGGAGAAAGGGAGCCAAGGCGCTTATGAAAAGTTTGGGGATAAGGAAGGATGGAAGCAAAACGGGTTTGGGAGGGTGAGGTGCGAGCGACTGTTGAGTCGACGCCATTGAGAACAAGAGTGAGGCTAAAGCAAGGTAAAGCAAGGGTAAGAACGGGTTTCGGCGAGTGTGAGAAATGCAAGTGTTGGAAGGTGGCGAGCAAGCAAAGGCTAGGGAGAGGGGGGAGGGAGGGGAGAGGGAGGTGAGACAGGAGAAAGAGAGAGACATGGCCAGTGCGTGTGACAGTAGAATTGGCAAGATAGGGTACCTTGAAGATGACAGAAAAGGAGCCGTTGTCATCCATTAGAAGCACATGCTGCTCCTCCCGGTACAGTGACAGGAGGTCTGTGATTGGCTGGATATGACAACACATCGCAGTTACACCGGGGAGAGGAAGAGAGAGATGTAATGAGAAGGGGGAAGGGGAAGGTGACGTTGTCATCCATTAAAAGCACATGCTGCTCATCCTGATAGAGTGACAGGAGGTCTGTGATTGGCTGGAGGCGAACACAATCATGCAGTTACAAACAACGGGGAATAGAGGAGACAGAGAGAGAGTAATGAGAAGGGCGGGGAGGGTGCCGTTGTCGTTCATTAGAAGCAAATGCTGCTCTGTGATTGGCTGGAAGATGACATGAGGTCGCAGTTGAAACAACAGATGAAACAGATGGGGAAAGCAGGACATGCAAAGAAAAGGACTGCAACATGCAAAGAAAAGGACTGCAACATGCAATGGAACTTTGTTGAGCAACTTTTGAGACGACACAAATGTCGTATAAGCTGCTCCTCCCGGTAAAGTGACAGGAGGTCTGTGAGCGTGTGGGGATGAGACAAGGAGGGTTCATGTGGGATGAAGAGACAGGCAGGCAGCCTTTAACACACAGACAGCCCCCGCCCCCCCCCCCCCCAAAAAAAAAAGGAAAAGAAAGAAACAAAGAAAGAACGAAAGAAAAACTCACTATCCGGTTGGCCGACTGTTGTTCCAGCAGGGTGGACACGTCAGCAAGGGAGCAACCAAGGTTTATGCGAGGGGACGTGAGGCGGCGTGGCAGCCAAAGGCGCTCCCTTCGGTTCACTGCCTGCACTGAGGGCAGCTCTGCCGCCCCTGAGACATGCGCTCGGGCAAGGATGGCGGTGCGCTTGAAATTCAACTGAGATGAGGGGAAGAGGGAGGAGGGAGCGGGGACAGGGGAAGCCAGAGGTGGTTCACTGCCTGCAATGAGGGCAGCTCTGCCGCCCCTGAGACGAGCGCTCAGGCAAGGATGGCGTGCGCTTGAAACTCAACTGCGGAGAGGGGAAAAAGGACAGGGGGAACGGTGAAGAGAAGGAGGGGGGAGAATGGATGGCGTGTTGAAGGATGGGAAGGATGGAGAGTTGGGAGGCAGCCAGAGGCGCTCCTGTCGGTTGACTGCCTGCTTGGAGGGCAGCTCTGCCCCTCCTGAGACGTGTGGAGAGCTCTGGGCCTCCTGGGAAGGGAGGAGAGGCGGGATTACAGCCAGAGGCGCTCCTGTCGGTTGGCTGTCTGCATGGCCGTGTGCTCGGGCAATGATGGCCGTGTGCTCGGGCAATGATGGCCGTGTGCTCGGGCAATGATGGCTGTGTGCTCGGGCAATGATGGCCGTGTGCTCGGGCAATGATGGCCGTGCGCCGAAAGCTCAGCCGTGGCAAGGAGAAAAGAGAAGGGGGGAGTGGGGAGGGGAGGAGAAGGAGGGGAGAGACAAGGACGGCCGTGTGCTTGAAGCTTTTTGAGACGTCTCAGAATATGACTTTTGAGATGTCTCGAACAACGTGCCCTTTGACAGGGACAGCCGTGCGCTTGAAGCTTAGCTGTGGGGGGGGGAGAGGGGAAGGAAGAAAAGAGGCTGTGGGAAGGAGGCCATGTGCTGACAATGCTCCAATAAGACTTGGCTATGTACGGAAAACTCAGCACCACTCCATCCACACCCCAACACCACACTCCCTTTCCCCCTTCTCCACTTCCCCACCATTTCCCCCGCCATCCTCCACCTGAACCGCCTTCGTACCCCCCTACCCGCCTCCCTTCCTCCCTCCCTTCCCCCGCCTACACGAAGCTCACAGAGTCAAACTCGAGCACAGAAAGCGACTTGAACCGAAAGGCGAGGTGAGTCGAGCGAATCACAGCCCACGTGGTGACCAGGCTCCAATACGACTCGGCAATGTAGGGCGAGCTGAGCAGCAGCACGCCACAGCCCAGCCCCACCAGCTGAGCCATCACCTTATACACCTCCTCCTTCGCTACCACCTCCCCCACATTCGCCTGCAGCGCAAAGTGAGTCTGGATAACCCTAGCCGACGGGTCTTTGAGCCCTTTCGCAATGGCCTTTGTGAGGTTTCCGAGGGATGCGAGGAGGAGAAAGTGGGTCGGCGCGAGGGGGGTGGCTAGTTCGAAGATTGCTCCGGCCGAGCCGATTAGGTCCGCGACGAGCCTCCACTGCTTCGGATCCTCGTCGAAGATGCTGCCGAACCTGCCACCCACGAGGAGGCGCCCGACCGCGCCTATGCCGTCCTTTGCCACCCATTTGATGGCGGCGGTGGCGGCGGCAGCAGAGGCGGGGTCTACGGCGGGGAGGGCGGCTGCTGCTGCCGCTGCTGTGGTTGCGAGGGTTGCTGCTCCTGCTGCAACGGTGCCGGCCGTACCAGCAGCAGTAGCGCCAGCAGCGGCACCAGTAGCAGCGCCAGTAGCAGCAGCAGCACCAGTGGCAGCGGCAGTGCCGGCAGCAGCAGTGGCTGTGGCTTTAACGAGCGACCCGACTCCAACTGCTTGCAGCAGCGTGGATGTGACGAGGGTTGAGGAGGCCCACCCCGTTATGTGCACCGGGAACTGCCAGAGCCTGATGGGAGGGAGGGAGGAAAGGGAGGAGAAGAGGAGAGGAGATTGGAGGAGAGGGGAGGAGTGTGGATGAGATAGAGAAGATGATGAGGAGATTGGAGGAGAGGGGAGGAGAGGGGAGGAGATGGGATGAGATAGAGAAGATGATGAGGAGAGGGGAGGAGAGGGGAGGAAACGGGATGAGAAGGGGAAGAGGCTAATAGAGGGGATGAAAGGGGTTTAGAAAGAGAAAGGCTATGAGAGAGGAAGACAGGGAATGGGAGGGAGGAGAGAGGGGAGGAAAGGGGACGAGAGGGGAAGGGAGGAGACTAAGGGTTGAGAAGCGAGAAGCGGGAGATGGGACGTGGGGGGGTTGGGGACGGGGGATGAGGGGCGTGAGGAACGAGGGACAAGGTAGGGCTAATTGCCTGGAGGAAAGGAGAAAACGAGGATATAAGTTGGCAAAAAATTGGATTTTACATGTAGCTTGTGTAGTCGCTGGTCAGGCTGACCGGGTATCCAGCGGGCAGGAAGAAATTCTTTGCCGACTGGACCAGAGAGTCGAAGCGGCCGCTTCGGGTAGGCTCAGCCCCGCCTCCGTTACTGTCACCTTCGTTAGAAGCACCATCGGCGGCATTGGCGGAAGACACAGCAGGGGGGGAGGAAGAGGTAGGGGGTTCTGCAACGCTCACAGCTCCTTCTGACAGGCTGATGCGATACCTGGGAAGGGGGAATGAACAAACAGGAAGGGGGAATGAGGAAACAGGAAGGGAGAATGAGGAAACAGGGAGGACGAATAAGGGAACAGGGCACGTAAGACACAGCGGCAGAGGGGATTAGGGTTATGGAGGGGGTTCTGCAACGCTTACAGCTCCTTGAGACGGGCTGATGCGATACCTGGGAAGGGGGAATGAGGAACCAGGGCGAGGGAGCGAGAGAGTGAGGGAGGGAGGGAGGGAGGCAGGGAGGGAGGGAGGGAGGGAGGGAGGGAGGGAGGGAGGGAGGGAAAGGGTGGGAGGGAGGGAAAGGGTGGGGAGGGGGGTTGTGGCGGGAGGGGGATGAAAGGGAAACCCAAAACCCTGAAGATGAATAGTGCCATGGTTACAATGCAACGGCGTGTTGGAAAATGAGGAAGTGATACAGCGGGTGGAAGATTTACAAGGAAGTGACAGGTAATGCGGTTGTGAGGAGCACCAGGATTTAGGGTACAGACAACGAGATTTTGGGGAGGGGATTTGTCGTTGAGGAGTGAGGTTCAGAATGCTTTGGAGGTTCATCACCGACAGATTGTATAGAAAATTATTATCTGGTAAATCCTCAGGGGAATGATTACCATTGAGAGATCTTGGGGGGGTCGGGGGGTGGAGGGTTGCGGCTGTACATCCACGGGATGGTTACTACTGATAAACTCCTGGAAATGGTTACCGCATAGTCCACCCTTGAGAATGGTTACCACTGCATACACCCTCTATCAAGGCCCGAACCGCATTCATAGATTACTGCTTGAAGACAAGCAGAAGAACGCGGAAACCAAGAGGGGAAGTGCTCGAACTCGCCCCGGCATCTATTTACCTCCGTATAGACGCATTCGCGAGTCTCTCCTCAATAATTAACCCCTCCTGTTGCTGCGTCGACCCGTCAATGTCTTTCCGTTTGGTGCTGTCGTTATCTCCCCTGTCATTTCCTTCTTGATCATTACCGCTGCCGTTTCGGGAACTACTATCCCGGTCATTCGTTCCTTTATTCCCGCTTGAGCTGTCAGAGCCCGCCTGGCAGCGGAATTTTAGCGGCCTCGCCTTAACGTATTGTAACTTTTTCGTGTAATCGAACGTCTTATAACGGGGATAGGATTGGGACCATTGGATAAGCGTCGTACTACCCTCCGTGAGGAGAGAATGCGGTGAGTGGACCGTACTTCTCGTTAAAGGAGATATTACGCTACAAGCAGTGAAAGGCGATCCTGTATGAGCTGCCATGGCACCTGAACCTTGCTTGACGTGGCGTGATCACTAGCTGACGTCACAAGCTGCCCAAACGGCTCTTCATCAAACTAAGCCGACTTTCTAGGATTGAGTAAGACAGACGAATAATGGGACGTCCGTTACGCAAACAGGGAGGTCCGTAGAGGTAGGGTGGTGTGTGATGCTTGTTTTGCGGTGTGAATACAAATCGACCAGATTCCGTTGGATTCAACCTGGAGGTTTGGCCAGTTGGAGTAATTGTTTTGTCCAAAAACCGCGACCGAGAACAACGAGGAGCCTCAGTACCGAGTTAATATCCACATAAATGCAGCTTGCCAGCTGGCAGTATGCAAGGATGCTTCTCTGGCTGCTAGCGGGGCACGCGTGGCGCGGAAAGGTAAATTTACAAAAATTGCGAATCAGACTCCTAGGGAAAGTCACAGCAGGTCTGTGGCGGCGTGGCTAGCTATTTCTGAAGTGATTGTTACAGGGTACTGGCTCTTTCTCTTCAAATCCCGCACTATCCTCACAGCCAGTCGTTTCTGAAGGGCAAAAGGATGAAATGGCTTGCCCCTTCAGCAGACCAAGGGTACAGCCTGAAAGAACAGGGAGAGATCAAACGCAGCAGCCGCCATGTGTAGACTTAGCCGCCTCAACTCGCATCCGATCAGAGAAACAATGGCGGCGGATTGCTGCCAGTAATGCAAAAAAACAAATAACTCAGGGAGGAGATCATTTGTTGACCTTGGGGAAATCAAATTAGCTCACTTCCACATTCCAACTTCCAACTCAATTGATGATGTCTGTGGGCTGTCAGAAGGGGACATCGAGTGTGCCGTGTCATCGATAAACGTGGGACCCAGGGCACGTACGTGTGCAGTTCCTCTTGTCCCACATCAGCAATCTTGCTGAAATGTCTTCCTGGGTATGACGTCGGTTCATTTTTGGTGTAAGTATGGAGTACAGTAGGTCATAAAAAGAGATTAAGTACAGCAAGAATGCAATTGAGCCAATTTACATCAAGGACAAAGACATCCTCCAGTCCAGTGAAAGGAGTTAATGGGCTACATATTTTCTGTATCAAAATTAAACTCGCTTCTAGGATATTGCTGATTTGCTCTCTGCTCCATCAAACTCTGCACCAGTAGCGCACTCTCCATTTTGTTTACCTGAGACTGCTCATCAGACAAACATGGTCATGAGATATTGGAAATGCATCCAAAACAAAGCCTGAAGACTAGAGCAAGAACATGCTTTCTTACCTGAAGGTGTGTGATATGGGAGATCGCCACCTCAATCATCGTAGCAGTGTCTATTTGAGGCCCAACTGCTCCTGCTGGTAGCATCCGCCGCAGTTGTTGCAATCCCTCACTGCAACCATAGTAAAACACAATTTTAGAAAACTGTGATGAAGGAAAAACGCCAACGTCATGCATTAAGAGCTGCAACCTTACCTGATCTTATCTCGTCGCTTCCTCTCACGCATGCTTCTCGGTTTTATGACACCTCGCTCCTTAGCTTCTGCGTCAAAGCGTGTCCGGGTCCGTGGTCGCCAATCCCCCATTGTAGGGCTGCCCAGTTGCTGGCGCACCTGGCTCGTTTGCTGTGCTTGTGACCCTCCGGCCATATCGCCACTGGAATTGGATGCGCCTAGCACAGGATTCCCACCATCACTGAATACACCCGCAGATGCTTCAACACCAGCTGCAGCAGCAGAACCGCTGCCATCCAAACCACCGCCATCGACCAGCATGCCTGTTTGACCTCCTCTGGAGTCAGACCTCAAAAGCTCCTGCACCAGTGCCTCTTCTTCCAAGTCAACCATCGCGCTTGCGAGGATGCAATTCTCGCCAGGAAGTGAGATGGTCCGCCTGCTGTCTGCACACCTTGCAGACAGTGCCATTTCGCCTGAGAGCATCGGCATGGAGGTCGACAGGACGGCGGATCCCGCCAAAGGCGATTCAGAGAGATTTGGTGAACCAGAGACAGCGGTTGGTGATCCGGCGACACAAGGCGATCCGGTATTAACTAATGATGCATGTCGGGGTACATTCAGTGAGCCAGTGCCGAGTCCTCTTGGACCTCTGTCCTGGGTGGCGTTGACACTCACAGCTGGCAATGCGGGCTCGGTAACAAGCAGTGTTGTTTTTGCCTCCAAGCCTCCGCGGTTTGGAAGCGGTATTTCAGGAATCAAGCTGATTTCCGCTTGCAAACCTCTCATGTGGTGCGACCGTTGCTCCGGTGCTACCTGAATGGCGAGGTCCGGACGAGCAGAAACGGTAGCATTTCTGTCCGAATTTGTGCCGACGTGCAGATTCGAACTCCAGCCCATCATACTCCGAAGGAACTCTTCCAAAGGGGTTTCGTCCCCAGATTGTGAACAAGCCCATTCCGTTGTTTCCGGAAGTTGAGATGATGAGCCGCCACCCCCCAAGTATTTCGCATCGCCGCCCACGTGACTGCCATTATCATGACGAAGGCGGCCATGATCATGCTTTCCGGTAGAAGTTGATCCGTGAAGAGTGCTCGAGCCGCCAACGCTGGCAGTTGCATTTCCCGAAGAAATCAATCCTAACATTTCTGCATTGAGACCATCTCCGTCTACCTCCATTGTAGGGATGCTAGTAGTGGTAGTATCGCCTTTGGAAAGCTCTTCGGTGCCGCCCATTTCAAAGCGTTTTGTGGTGGCGGCAGCTGATGGTTGCCGCTGAAATCGCGAGGGTTGACGGAAATCATGGCCGACGCGGAGACTTGGAGTTGAAGGAGGAGCGTTTGCGGTAGAACCTGGCGGTGAATTTGGCGACGAGACAAGCGACACCGGCGTGCGACAGTTTGAGCTGGTAACCGCGACATTGTGCGACGCCGCGGCGGCGGGATTGCCGCTGACGGAGAAAGCCGCGTCGCGGGGCATGACTGACCGCGACGCGGGAAGCGGAGATTTTCCGCTTGCGACAGCTCCGTTTGCCGCAGAGAAGCTTCTTTCTTCCGCGACGGAGAGAATCTGCAGCTGCGCGAAACGCGCAGCCTCGGCGGAACGTTCGAGCAGCTCCGGAAGCTCTTGAGCGGCGAGACGGGCCGGCGACTCGTAACCTTGCGCTGATTCGGCGACATTCTTTCGTATTGCCGCGTTGGCGACGGTGAAAGGTACCATTACCGATGCCGACTCGGTCGCGGAGACGTCAAGCCGCTGTTTGTCAGCACGAGCCGCGGGAGGCGCGATGCCGCCATTGGTGCTGCTGCCTTCAAGCTGCAGCTGATGTACCCACGCTTCGACCGCGGTCCGCTGCCGATGCATCATTGCCGCGAGCGGCGTCTCCGTGAGGTTCGGCGACTGAAACGTGCTGTCCGCGGCCGGGGAATGATTATGACGAGTCTCAGCCGAACCTCCGACGCCCCTGGCAGAGACGTTGGAAAGTTCGGCACTACCACGGAGTACTACGTCGCGCTGACTACGAGACGACATAATAATGGCGGCAACTCGTCGATGTTCGAAGATACTCTACGCTCGCGGAGCTAGTGGGCGACCGAATTTTGGACTCCAGGAGTGCTTTCTGGAGTGTGCTTCGTCTAAAAGAAGTGTAGTAGAACAAATCTCTTGCTCCTCGAGTCCTCGGGAACGAACGACACGGCAGGTTCTGTTTGTCGACAGACTTCTGGACTGGGGCAGTGCCGCTGAAAATAAATCGACTACTGTAATCACTGCATTGCGGTGGAGGTGATAATACTAACATGTACTACAGTCTGCGCTTCTGCGCTTGATGAAGGCGAACTCGTCATTTCGAAGTGACAAGCAGTGGGAGATGTTCGACTGAGCTGGAAAAACTCTAGCTACACTTGCAACTTTCCGTGAATATAGACGATCTCCGCGTAGCAGTGAGGATCCTCCTCCACAAGCTGCAAAACTCGAGCTTCAAGAACAAGCCCAAATAGTACGGCCCGCCCGCGAGTTCAGGCAGAATGCAAGGCGATGGGATAGGAGTTAAACATGGAGGGCTGAAGGTGAGCACGTGTGGCAACAGCTTTGATCGGACGACTTAGTCTGGATAGCAAAAGATTCTCAGAGAGACGCTGCGTGCATCTCTTGCTGAACAAGCTTCAGGTCGCTTTCATTGTGGTGGACAACAGAGCAGGATCACAGAAAGGCGGTTGTGTGCGCTGGAGGGATGCCACGATATGAAATGGATAAGGGTAGTTACGCTTCTAGTTTAGACATTCCTTGGTACAAACGTGAGCCCATCAGACACCCTCACAAATAACTCGTCAGTCTTGTCGCTCAGGCCATTCTGCCTCTCGGAGACTTTGACAGGTTCAGAGAAAATCAACAAGGTTGCGCAGCAAACCGTTAATGGTTTTTTCAACCAGACACCAGCCTAATTTTCCCGAATCTTGACGATTCCATCGAAGTTAACAACTGTTTCACCGCACCAGCATATGCACTGTGTACTGCAATGCATGCACAGAAAGCAACGGAAACGTTTTCACGAAAGGGGAGGCTTGGAATCTCTGCTTACGATTTTTTCCATGCTGTACCCACACTGGTTGTCAGGCATGACACGGTGGAACTCGGGTTCCAATGGCACGGGCTTGAAGGGGCAACGTTGCAAACCTTTTCGACCGGGCGGGGCACTGTGGGGTCCTCGTATCAGAACAAAGATCTTTGGGAGTGAATGCGCCTTGCATTCTGACGTGAGGGTGTATGCTTCTCATTGATCAAGCGCAAATGTTAATTAGTGGCCTCAAAAAAAAAAAAAAAAAAAACATACTAAAGAGGGATGGGTTTTGGAACCTTGAATTACCATGCGAAAGTGACTAGGAGAACATGTCCCTTCAGCTACAGAACTTGGAATAACTCATGCACATGGTGACTGGATAGCAAGTGCATGCCAGTGTTTACCATGTTTCAAATCATGTGTCCAGGTTGGACACACGAAAGCAGTTACCGCTTAGAGTAAACAGCCGCCAGCGACCACTACTTGGAGATGCGAGCTGCGAGCTCGCGAACAAATTTGGCGGCAACCATGGCTGTCATGCCGTCCACCGTGTCGCGCTGTGGGTTCAGCTCCACCACGTCCCCGGCCACCACATTGCCTGGTGGGGTGCGCGGAGGGGAGGGGGTTTGGGGGGGAGGGGAGAGGAAAGGGAATGTGTTTGGGGGGTGAGGAGGGGGGTGGGGACAAGTGCGCTGTGGGTTCAGCTGCACCGCGTCCCCCGCCACCACACAGCCTGGTGGGGTAAGCCGGGGAGGGGGGAGGGGGGGGAAGGAAATGAGAGGGGAGGGGGGTCGGGTGGGGGGTGGTTGAGTGGCACAAACGATGTGGGTTCAGCTCCACCACCTCACCGGCCACCACCTCACCGGCCACCACCTCACCGGCCACCACCTCACCGGCCACCACATTGCCTGGTGGGGTAAGCAGGGGAGGTGGGGGCGTGAGAAGGAATGGGGTTGGCTGGGACATACACACTGCGGGTTCAGCTGCACCACATCACCCCCCACCACATCACCCCCCACCACATTATTCAGCCGCCCGGCTGAATGTGCAGCTTGATATGAACTTTCACTGAGAGTTCTTGATATGAACTTTCACCACAATAGTCACCTTTGAGGTTCTGCAGAATGTTGGCGTTTCACGTGGAAGGAGAGGCCGCCTGGCTCGATTTTCATCGTGAAAAGGATTTTCTACTGAATGCACTTTTGGAGAATGTTCACAAGAATACCCTCCAGAACATTCACCAGAAGATTCACCTTCGAGGTTCTGCAGAATGTTCATGACATCGTGAAAGGAGAGGTTGCCCAGCTCAACGTGCAGGTTAGAGTGAACTATCAGGGAAAGTTTACTACGAGAATGTTCACCTTTGAGGTTCTGCAGAATGTTCATGACGTCGCGAAAGGAGAGACCGCCCGGCTCAATGTGGGAGACGCCCGGAGCAAAGGCGGGATCGAGGCAGTCTATGTCGATGGATACGTATACTCCCTTCACCCCCTGGCCCAGCTCCTGTTTGGAGAGACGAAAGGGGAAATGGGAGGGGAGATGAGAGGGGAGGCGGGAGGTGGAAGCGCCTCATCTCATACTAATTCAAGCAAGCAGTCAGTGAAAGTGACCTGTTCCATTCGGTACAAGCACAACCAACTACTGTAAGCGCATACCATACAAATCACAATCATTCCACCCACCAGGTTCAATATGGTGCGTGGAGAAGCACAAATCGCATACCAGGCACTTCCACCCACCCATCATTCTATCAAGAGTGTCTCGGATGTGATGGACGTGCCTCCTCATCTCATGCTGCACCACCACACACGCTAGACATGCTGGATGTGACATGGTGCATTCAGTATAAGAGGTTTCCCCCATCACTGTAAGCACACCCCACACCCATCTCCACCACTCTCCACCCACCAAGTTCTCCAGCATCGCTCAGTTGCGGTGGAAGTGCCTCATCTCATGCTGCTCCATGCTAGAAGTCAGTGCAGTTAACTTGTCTTGTCCCATTCTGTACAAGCACACCCATCACTATGAGCACGCTCGAACCCAACATATCACCACCGCTCCCCACCCACCAGGTTCTCCAGCATCTCTCGTTTGCGGTGGAAGTGCCGCATCTCGTATTGCTCCACGCCAAACCGCCTGCCCTGCTCCCGGCCTGTCATTGTAAGCATACTCACTACAAGCACATTCCCCCCTCACCCCACCCACCAAGTTTTCGAGCATCTCTCGGTTGCGGTGGAAGTGCCTCATCTCGTACTGCTCCACGCCAAACCGCCTGCCCTGCGCCCGGCCCTCCTCGTTGATCGACCGAATGCCCACCTGCGAGCATTCAAAGAATTTGGGATGGACGGGGAAAAACAGTGGGAGAATGATCTATACAATCTATGTATGCTTGTGTATACATACGCAGAAAAATATACAGGAGGTAATTATCGCATGTATGCTCAATTTCGGACAGCTGCACAAAATTTCACAAAACGAAACCCCAGGAGTCAATTATCACAAAATTTGCGTGGCCAACATTTTTTGAGACGTCTCAAAACTCAACTTTTATCACAAGATTTCTGGACGCGTCAAGATTTGTGTGGAACGAAATTACCTCCTGGGAACCTGGAACAAAGAGGCACCATTTAAGATATAATCCCACCTGCAGCAGCCTCCGGCACGCTCCCGACTCCATGATGCGAGCAAAGGGCGAGGCGTGGGAATAGTGGTTGCCCTCAAAGGCATGGTAGATGTCTGGTTGGGTACAAACTCAAGGGAACCTCAACCCAAAATCTTAAACCCGAAACCCGAAAACCTGAACCGTTTATCCCACCTGCAAGAGTCGCCGGCACGCTCCAGACTCCATGATGCGAGCAAAGGGCGAGGCGTGGGAATAGTGGTTGCCTTCAAACGCGTGGTAGATGTCTGGGTGGGCGTCGAAGTGAAGAATGTCGACTGGCCCGCCCAGATGCTCTGATACCGCCCGCACCACCGGGAAGGAAATGGAGTGATCGCCTCCCAAGACCAATGGGGCTAGGGGAGACTGGGTGGCAGGAGGAGGGGAGAAAAAGGGGTGACAATGGGAGGAGGAGGGGAGAAAAAGGGGTTGAAATAGGGGGGAATGGGGGAGAATGGGGAGAGATTGGGGGCAAATGAGGGGGAAATAATGGTTGCCCTCAGAGGCGTGGTAGATGTCTGGGTGCGCGTCGAAGTGAAGAATGTCGACCTGGCCCGCCCAGATGCTCTGATACCGCCCGCACCACCGGGAAGGAAATGGAATGGTCTCCTCCTAGGACCAGAGGGGACTGCGGGGGAAATGGGAGAAATTGGGGGGGAAATGGGGGAGAATGGGGGGGGCGAATGGGGGAGAATGGGAGGGGGGCAAGGTGGATGAAATTTCATTGGGGAGTGGGGATGGGAGAGCGCGTGATCCTGATGCAACACGCAACATGAAACACGCAACACGCATCATAAAACATTCAGCGCAGACGAAAGAATGAAACAGCGGTCCCAGTTCACTGCTCCCACAGCCAATCACAACTACGCAAACGCAGATGACTGAAATAGGCTTTTTGTCTTTGACTGTCCATATGACTGAAGTCATATAATAATCACCACACATGAGTAACAAGCTGCATTACCTCAGCCAGCACGAGGCGCACGGAGTCTGACACTGTGCGCATGAGGCGACTGTCATCCAAGCCACAGTAATCTGATACAGTGATAAGGGTAAATACCCAGTAAAACAGACTTGGAATCAGGGTTATTACCTCAGCCAGCACGAGGCGCACGGAGTCTGACACGGTGCGCATGAGGCGGCTGTCGTCCAACCCACAGTCCCGCATCTCCTGTTGTGGTCGGGTGGGATGCATGGATGGTGCATGATTGAATGGAGTTAGAGGCACATGCAAGGTGCACATGAGGCAGCTGTCTTCCAACCCACAGACCAAGCGAACACGGTAAGAAGCAACTCCAATGCCTTTCCTGCCTGCATCACATTTCACCTGCATCACATTTCACCTGCATCACATTTCACCTGCATCACATTTCACCTGCATCACATTTCACCTGCATCACATTTCACCTGCATCACATTTCACCTGCATCACATTTCACCTGCATCACATTTCACCTGCATCACATTTCACCTGCATCACATTTCACCTGCATCACATTTCACCTGCATCACATTTCATCTGCATCACATTTCACCTGCATCACATTTCACCTGCATCACATTTCACCTGCATCACATTTCACCTGCATCACATTTCACCTGCATCACATTTCACCTGCATCACATTTCACCTGCATTTGCAACTGCCTGCCTGCACTACCACCTACATCAGTAACCCCCCTCACCGGCCAAGCACATCCCCCACGTCTGTGAGCTGAGCACCAGATACTACCTGCACGGTGTTCCAAATACCACCTGCACCAAATACCACCTGCACCAAATACCACCTGCACCAGTAACCCGCCTGCCCCCTCACCTGCACGGGCAAATCCCACCGTCTGTGAACTTTAAATGTCGTTCAGATCCTTGCCTCCTCTGCTCTACCTGCATCCAAACCCCCCTGCTCCAGATACCACCTGCACCAGTAACCCCTTTCTCCTCACCTGCACGGGCACATCCCCCACGTCTGTGAGCACTCGGATGTCGTTCAGATCCTTGCCTGCTTGGGGCAGAGCAGAGGATAAGTGGACGCGCAGGGGAAAGGTGTGGAGAACGGTGGACATGTGAATGGTGGATAAGTGAATGGTGGATAAGTGAATGGTGGATATGTGAAGGTTGAGTATCCATTCACATATGTGAATCACTTATCAAGTGAAGGGAGTTAGGAAAGGTTAATTTGCTAAGCTGCAGCAGCTGTTGCTACCTGAAGAAAGGTGGCTAGCTGTTGCTCCAGTCGTTACAGGCGTTTTATGAGAATGCCCCCAAAACGTAGCTGCGGCTGCAGTTGTTGCCTTTCCTCACTCGCCTTCCTTCAGTTGGCGAACCCATCTCGTTCTTCTCACCTTCCTGTAGCCGAGTTGGTGGAGCCACACCAGATGGCCTCTTGGATGCGGGGAGGGGGTGAAGGTAGTCAACTCTAGTCAACTCTAGTCAACTCTAGTCAACACAAGTCAACGCCAGTCAACTCTCACCTTCCTCCGTGGCCGAGTTGGTGGAGCCACACCAGATGGCCTCTCGGATGCACGGAAGGGCGAAGGCAGTCAACTCTAGTCAACTCGAGTCAACACCAGTCAACACCAATCAATGCCAGTCAACTTATCTCTCCCCTCACCTTCCTCTGTAGCCGAGTTGGTGGAGCCACACCAAATGGCCTCTCGGATGCGCGGAGGGGCGAAGGCAGGGCCCTGGAGGAAGCTGGAGTTGTGGCCCAGCGGCACCCCCAGGAGACACGCCGTGGCCTCTGCTCCCCCTGCTGCTCGCACCTTCTCCGCCTGTGGTAGACGAGAGCACGGACACGGGGCAAAGGAGGGAGAGGTTGGCAGGGGGATAAGAGGGGCGAAGGCAGGGCCCTGGAGGAAGCTAGAGTTGTGACCCAGCGGCACCCCGAGCAGACACGCCGTGGCCTCTGCTCCCCCTGCTGCTCGCACCTTCTCCGCCTGTGATGCATAAGCGGACAGTACGGGCACCGGGCAAAGGGGGGAGATGGTGAAAGAGGAATAAGAGGGGCAAAGGCCGGGCCCTGCAGGAAGCTGGAGTTGTGACCCAGCGGCACTCCCAGCAGGCATGCTGTCGCCTCTGCTCCCCCTGCTGCTCGCACCTTCTCTGCCTGTGATATGAGCGAGCACAACAGGGGGCAGGAGGGTAAGGGTACAGAGGGACAAGGGACAGAGTGGGATATTAGGGGCGGAGGCAGGGCCTTGAAGGAAGCTGGAGTTGTGCCCCAGAGGAACGCCCAGCAGACATGCCGTTGCCTCTCCTCCCCCTGCCGCTCGCACCTTCTCTGCCTGTGATGTAAGATAGGACAGCAGGGCACAGACGGTGGAGGGTAAGGGGATAGGAGTGGAGGGTAAGGGGATAGGAGTGGAGAGTAAGGGGATAGGAGTGGAGGGTAAGGGGATAGGAGTGGAGGGTAAGGGGATAGGAGTGGAGGGTAAGGGGATAGGAGTGGAGGGTAAGGGGATAGGAGTGGAGGGTAAGGGGATAGGAGTGGAGGGTAAGGCAGCGCCCTGCAGGCATACTGTCACCTCTGCTCCCCCTGCTGCGCGCACCTTCTCTGCCTGCAATCAAATGGTAACAACCGGGGGCAGGGGGGGGGGCAGGGTAGTAGGGTGGTAGGGGGAGACGGGACAGGGGGGCAGGGGAGTTGCAAGACAGGGGGGCAGGCGGAAGGAAGGGTAGCGTGGTAGGGTGGTAGGGGGTTTGGGTTGATAAAGGGGTTGGGGGTTAGATGGACAGGGAGGTAGAAAGGTATGGGAACAGGGGGACAGGGGGAAGTGGGACAGGGGAACAGGGGGACATGGGGACATGGAAACAGGAGAGAGGGGGACATGAGGACAGGGGGACATGGGAACAGGGAGAGAAGGGGACATGAGGACAGGGGGACATGGGAACAGGGAGAGAGGGGGACATGAGGACAGGGGGACATGGGAACAGGGAGAGAGGGGGACATAGGAACATGGTACCAGGGGAACAAGGCCACGACGTGGACAAGAAAGGTTGCAGATTCATGAGCATTCCATGTTGCGCGCGTGCTTTTACAGCTGAGAAATTCTGAGACGAAGCTTCGTTTTCGAGCCGTACCTTGAGCCGCGCTCGCTCGCGCACCAGCGTCAACGACGCTTCCACCACGCGGTTCGCGCCCAGCTCCTCGCTCTCCGTCACCGGCGCGCGCGGGGCTCCGCTTCCGCCACCTGCGGCGGCGGCGGAAGCGAATCCGCGGCACAACGGCGGAAGCGCGCGGCCGGCGGCCGGCAGCGCACCAAACGCAGCGGAAGAAACTGGCGGCGCGGGAGTGTGACGAGACATAAGGTTGTGGCTATGGCTATGGCGGCTGTGATTGAGAGCGCGTCGGATCAGAGTGTGCAACCGGCGTGACGGAGCCATGATGTCTTGCTTGCGTGTGCGAGACGTGAATTACAGCGATGGGATGCGGCAGGAAACGTCGGAATCCGGTGGGATGCAGTGAGATGCGGCAGTATGTGGTGAGATGCGATGGCGGGATCAACTGAGTGGAGCTTTTCGGGATGGTTCCCGTGGTAAAGGATGGGATCGGGACGGGATAACACCGATCGGCCGCGGCCGATGCGAATCGGGCGAAATGCAAGCAATGGAGGTGGAAGGCGTGGGAGAGGAGTGACTTGTGGCGAGTGGACACTAAAGATTCAGGCTCGCACCCCAGGACAAGCCAATCGTTCCTGCTTCTCACAAGAAGCACAAGGAGTGGAAGCTCACACGATCAACGAGCAATAGCTGATACGATGAAGGGAGAACCTGCTTCTGCATTCCATGCTCCCAGGTTCAGGAGGAGCACAGAATCCTAGCAAATCCCAATGCCTGTTCCGACGTGGATGGTGATCACGTGGGTTCAGAACTCTAGCTTTCCACGTGGGACCTTTTCAAGGGAATTTCGCCCACGTGGTTGCCAAAGATAACAAGCGATTGTGACAAGAAGCCTCGCTACAAGAGTAGAAACGAAATAAATTCTCACTATCTGCCTACCGGAATGCAGTAAGTCCAAAATAATATAGGAAACCTACGAATTCAACACAGTAAAAACTATATCACAAGATCGAGTACAATATCATATTGGATTTCTGTATATTATATAACACCCAATCATGATGCTATTCATTCGTCCATCCACACTTAGCGATGAAGGTTTTTTTTTTTCCCCTTCGTTTCTGTACGCTCTGTCGAGCTGTACTTCTTCTGAGTTGTGTATTAGGACGTGGACTTTGATCGAATATGCGATTGGTGAATTCAATGGATCACGCACCAGCACACAACGACAAGGCACGTCCACGCCAGCACAGGGATATCCAGGCTCGTCAGAGTCGAATTTCTCCGTCAACATTACGATTAGTGACGTGTACTGACGCGGTTCACACGCTGCTGAAGATCTGTCTGGCAGTGTATGATCCGTCCACGCGGCCACATGTGCCACGGTTGGAACAGAGTAAGCATTGAGAGGATTCATAGCCAATGGGAATACTGACGTGGATGGAACGAGAGTCGCGGGTTCGAACCAGTGACGCTTCGCAGTTACACGTGACTGCCATTCTGGTGGATCATGCCAGCCAGGCTTGGATAGCAGCTTCCAGACCGCGATTCGCTTGGAATCCCTGAAGTGCAAACACAGCCTAGCTAGACGAAGGATGGCGAAACAAGGGTAACGATATCGACCTTGGGTCAGTAAGAAAATGGCTGGCCTAACGACAAAGGGCGAAACTGAGCTGAAGATGATTGCAGTTGCAGCTTCGCTTCGGTTCGTAGAAATGATGAGGGTTTCTACACGCTTCCTTTCGGTTCCTCCTTTTCGGTACCCATTGCAAAATTACTTCTCTCTCTAGTGTTCGAGCAACTACATTAGTAGGCTCCAGAGATTGAAAATTGTTGTCGCAAACGCTATTTTAGGCTACGACGGGAGGCGAACTGTGGAGCTGGCCACTGGGTGCTCATTGAACCGCGGGCATCGTTAGGAGCTGTTTAGTCCGCTGGTCCGCAGCAACAAAGCTGATCTTCTCGCCTGATAATCGTTTCCACATAGCTCACCCACCTTGCATAAGAGCGCAATGGCGGCACGTTTAGACCTCTCGTCTCCGATAACGTCGTCCAAGCTATCCCTAAAATCGTCGCAGTCCAGCCTTTCGTCGTCCGCATCTCGTCAAGCCAGCTGGTCGCCGCCCTTCAAAGGATCAACCTCACGCCTCTCGAAATCGACCTCAGCGCCCAACAAACCCTCAACCCGCCTCCCGCTTCCGCCTTGCGCGCTTCCCCCCGGCGCGCTTCCTCTCGGCCTCCGCACCGTGTCCTCTTCCGCCGTCCCCCGCGTCGCTGCGTCAGCCGCTGCCGCGTCCGCCGCCGATTTTCCCGCAGCCGGGTCCGGCCCTGACGAGCCGCCTTTCAATCTCAATCCGGAAGAGCTCCAGGAGGAGCTTTCCCGCGCTTTTCGCTCTGCCAAGAAGCAGTCGAAGGTGGCGCTGCGCAAAATAGCGGACGGCACGGCGGGGGCTCTGCGTTGCGCGCAGAGCAAGGTGGCGGAGTTTGAGCGCGAGAATGACCTGCGCGGAAAGGCGCGGGAGGCGGTGGGCGCGGCGAACGAGCGGTTTGAGGAGGTCGCGTTCGAGGCGGAGAGGCACGCGTTTCGGTTCGACGCGCAGTTCGGGGTTTCAAGTAGAGTGGAGGAGATGAAACGCGTCGTGGTCGGTGCGGCGTACGATGTGGACTGTAACCTGCGGATCCGACAAAGAATGCGAGACATGATCAAGGAGATACAATACCAACTACCAAAGGTATTGCGGGAAAAGAGGAGATTCTCTAAAAGCGGTGCTGTTCCCTCCTACCACCGTCCGCACACTGCTTCCCTTCTCCGCACTCCCACGCTAACCAAGGAGCTGGAGAAGAGCGTCTGCAGCTTCTCTGACTCCGCCTCCTTCTCCTGGAGCGCCTCCCTCTGTTTGGCAACTGCAGCCTGGCTTCTCCCGCCTTACCCAACTCCGTATGCCCACTCTTTCCCCGACTCCCCTCTCCCGCTCCCCTCTCCTGCTCCCCCCCCCCGTCTGTTCTCGTCCCCCCCCGCGCGTGCCACCGCAGTATCTGAAGCGGTGGGCGGAGTTCCGAACCACGCCAGCCGGCCAACTCGTCATGGTAGGCTTTCCAACCCCTCACTGCTGTCTCTCGTTGCTGCATTCAGCTGCTCTCGCTCTGCTGTCTCTCATCGCTCTGCTGTCTCTCATCGCTCTGCTATTTTGCTCCTTGCTGCTCAACCACGCCAGCCGGCCAACTCGTCATGGTATGCTCTTCAACCCCGCACTGCTGTCTCGTCGCTTTTACCCTCGCTGCTACCCTCGCTGCCGAACCCGCTGCCGATCCCGCTGCCGCCCTTGCTGCTGTCTCTCATCGCGCTTCCAGTCTTGTGCTCCTCGCTACTCTCATTCTCGTCCGCCACTCGTCGTCTCCGCTCCCCATCCTCTTCCCCTTTTCTCCTCCTCCACGCCCTTGACGCTCTTTCCAATCCCCTCAATCTCTTTCCGCGTCGCGGATCTTGCATTCTCTCTTGTGAATCGCCATTGGCCTTCCCTTCCTCCCTCAGTTCCTGGTGTTCCCATGGCTGCTCATTTCGGGATTGATCGAGCCTTGAGACGTCTCAGATTTTGTTTTCATGTCTACCCTCTCTCACATGGTCCTCTCTCTCTCTCTCCTCCCTCCCCCAGTTCGTGGCATTCGCGTGGCTCCTCATCTCGGGCTGGCTTGCGCAGATCTTCCTCTGGTCGCTCTGCATTGTCCCACTGCCATTAATATCCTTTCCTGCTCCCCCGTCCCTCCCACCCCGTCCCCTCCCCCCCCCTTTCCCCCTTCTTCCTCCCCCAGTTCGTGGCGTTCGCGTGGCTCCTCATCTCAGGCTGGCTAGCTCAGATCTTCCTCTGGTCGCTCTGCATTGTCCCGCTCCTTCCACTGCTTGCTAGGGCGCTCGCCAAAGCAGCCTTCGTTGAGGTATCGTTTCTATATTTTCAAGCCCAGGCTTTGCTGTGTGATCGCCCTCTTCTGCTGCTTGCTGCCCGAATCTTGCTGTGTGATTTTCCTCACAGTACGATGTTGTTGATGGTAGCTTCTGATCGTGCACCAGCGTCCTCTTCTTCCGTTTCCCCCTTCACAACTTCCCGTCCTCGCTTCTTTTCCCAGGGTGATTGCCCCTCGTGTGGAGTTCGTTTCATCGGTCCCCGTCGCGAGCTGCTGATCTGCCGAGGATGCCACCACGTGGTGTGGACACCCAAGGGCTGGGGCTCCCCAAGAAAAGCTCAGAGCTCCTCTGCTAAAAGCACCAACAGCGGCAGCAGCAGCGACAACAAAGGTGCCAGTGGTGTTAACAGCAAGCGCAGTGCACGCGGCGCTGCTGATGATAACGAGGTGGATATTATTGATGTTGTGGCCATCAGTCCAGCAGCAGCCTAGCTTTGATGAGGTGTACAGTGGGCGGCACCAGCAACAGAGATTATGTGGTTGCCACCTTTTATGGTGTAGTTCAGGAGCAGCTTAGCTTCAAAGAAGGGGATATACATAGCACATTTTGTTGCAGCAGCCAGGTGGCTTGTGCAACTAAGGTCCTGTAGTAGCAAATGTCGGATATGAGCTGGAATACAAAAGAAATAAAATCGCAGGGGTCCTCTGACCAATCCTGAGATGTCCAGTCTTTCAAGAATTGTGCTGCGCAGTGGAGATTCATAAAAGAGGGAAAATAACTGAGCGCAACGGATCAACTGCGGGCAGAAAGACCCTAAAATAATCTCATCGTATCAATCAGACCCCGTTACTAGTACCAGCCCGGGGCCCGGTGGCGCTATAGTATCGGTTACCAGCACACAGATGCGCCTATATAGTACCTTGCGATTCCTCCAGATATACGGGATCACCCCACTGGGCGTCCACCACCAGCAGCCACAACGCGAGAATCAGCGCGCTGCGATGCAGCTTAGTACTAAGAGTCAACATCGCCGCACTGACGCCGCCGCGGCGACGGATCGTTGCGTGGGCTGAAAGTACTAAGGTCCTGTAGTATCTTGTCAGTATTAGGGTTCCAACTCTAGTATTAGCATGTTTAATGTGGCATCACCAATCTACTGGTGAATGGAAATGTGCTGAATTAGCATGTGTGGTAGAACTTGAATGACCATAGAGGAAATTGGCCATGCACCTTGGTACATTTTTAGTTTCACGATTGGCACAACCTTCATACTTTAGGCTTCAACAACAGCCAATCGTGTTACGTGAAGTTTGTGTGAAAAATCCCTCTTGATCATCCTATTTCAAGTTTATTTTGTTGCGCCCCTTTAGGAGCACTCCAAAAATTGATGTATGCCGCCTAGCGAGGAACACACACGGTATTCTTTAGTAAAAGGCGAAAGAATAGTTCGCTTTGTGTGTAACTCACGGCTGATGGTAGACACATGATTCTTCCGAGTATTTGTTATTCAAGAAGCTCAAAGCTCGACTCTGCGTTGTGAGAACCTTCACACAACGAAGTGCCACGTGGCACTCTGATTCCACAGTACGAAATTTCATTCGAACAGCTCCTGCTAGATTGGTCGGGAACTTGTCCTAAGCTAGTCTTGAGCAATTGTAGGTATGTCTGGCTAGACTCGCATTTGATGCCGCCTCTTGCGCTACCATAGTCGATATCCCTTGCGCCAAACTATCCCGGCCAGCTCGTCTGAATGTTACTCCCTCGCTTCGCACGATCCCTCGCCGCCGTTCCCGCAAGCTCTCTCCTGCGCGATTCGCGGCCTCTCGTCGTGACTGCCGCATTGCGCGCGCTTGCCTCCGCGCAGCACCCGCTTGTGCGAGTTCCGACCGTTTCCGGCGCGCCGTGCTGGCTTGAGACGACCCGTCGAAACGCGGCTGTAGCGCCCACATCAGCAGTCGTAGCGCCCACGTCAGCAGTCGTAGCGCCCACGTCAGCCGTAGCGGCCACATCAGCATTTGTAGCGTCCCACCCGTCTCACCCATCCCACCAAGCTGTCTCCCGTTACAGTCACGCCATGGCTCAGCGGATTCCCTGGAACCAATTCCAACACTCGCACACCGCTTGTGAAACAATATCGCCGCACCCTCTAGGTCGTTCCACGTCAGCCGTTGCCACGTCAGCTCAAGCCAATCCTGCGACTCACCTCAACTGTCGTCCTAGCCTCGGGATTTCCTCAAAACCGAACGCTCTTTCTCCACTCCATAGCTTTCTGGCCGTTAAATCTTCCCCGTTTTCGGGAGTGCCAGTGTTAACAGCTAACCGCGCAACACCTTCGGTTAATCTGGGTATATCCAGAATAAACACCCGAAGCAGCAGCAGCAGCAGCAGCAGCGGCCGTGGTTTTGGCAACAGCTCTGGTGGGAGCAGTAGCGGCAGAAGCAGTGGCAGCAGCAGCAGCGTAAGCACTCGCGAGGGTGACGGGGGGAAGGGAGGAAGTAGGCCCAAGAGTGCGGGCAGCAACAGCAGTAAGAGTAAGGTTACTAAGAATGCAAAGAGTGCCAAGAGTGCTAAGAGCCGTCCTCATGGCAATCCCAAGGCTGGTGCGAAACCCAAACCTTCTGCCAAGCCTAATTCCAAGCCTCCTGCTAGACCAGCTCCGAAGCAACAAGACGGGCCGGATCCTGCATACATTATGGCTAGCGCCGCCGAGCCTGATTCTATGCACGTTCGGGAGCGAGGAGCCACCGGAGGTTCGGGAATTAGTTTCGAGGAGCTTGCAGAACGTGACTATAACGAGGGGGACTTTGAAGAGGAGGACGAGTGGGAGGAGGAAGAGGACGAGGGCGAATGGGACGTGGGCGATGCTGATGTGGAACGAACCCTCGCTGAGTCAGCACAGGAGCTTTCCACGGGCAGTCTGGTGCTGCCGCCCGGGCGGCAAGCCCCGCGGGTGAAATCAGCAGTATTTGTGAAGAGCAGCAGCAGCGTGGCACAGTGCCCTAAGGATACGAAAATCCCGGAGTTTGCTGTGATTGGCCGGTCGAATGTGGGAAAATCTTCCCTTATCAACATGCTGACCAATCACAAGGGGCTTGCACAGACGTCCAAGAAACCAGGTAAGTTCAAAGTTTAGGGTTTCGAGTTTCGAATTGAGGGGTTTGAGTGTTTCGGGTTTTACTCTTGAATCCTCCCCTGCTATGGTCGTAACCACCCTTATCAACATGCTGACGAATCACCAGGGGCTAGCTTAAACGTCCAAGAAACCAGGTGAGTACAGGATTTGGGGTTAGTGAGATTTAGGGTTTCGGGTTTTACACATGAGTCCTCCCTTGCTGCCATCGCAATCGTCCCTCATCAACACGCTGACAAACCGTCAAGGTCCTCCTCTCCTCTCCTCTCCTCTCCTCTCCTCTCCTCTTCCCCTCCTCTCCTCTCCTCTCCTCTCCTCTCCTCTTCCCCTCCTCTCCTCTCCTCTCCTCTCCTCTCCTCTTCCCCTCCTCTCCTCTCCTCTCCTCTCCTCTCCTCTCCTCTTCCCCTCCTCTCCTCTCCTCTCCTCTCCTCTTCCCCTCCCCTCCTCTCCTCTCCTCTCCTCTTCCCCTCCTCTCCCCCTCCTCTCCCTTTCCTCCCTTCCATCATTCCACATTCGCTCACTTCCTCTTTCACCCTTCTCCCCTTCCCCCCTTTTTCCTGCAGGCAAGACACAGCTGATAAGCCACTTCCCTATCAACGACTCCTGGTACCTCGTGGATTTGCCTCCTCCCCATCCACTCCCCCTGTTCCCCCCTTCCCACCTGCCCCCCATCCCCACCATACCCCCTTCTCCCCTGCAGGCAAGACGCAGCTGATAAACCACTTCCTTATCAACGACTCCTGGTATCTCGTGGATCTGCCAGGCTATGGGTGAGTAAGTGGGCGTGTATTAGAGGCTTGACTTTACTTTTATATATATATATTTTGTATATATATATATATATTTTGTATATATATATATTATGCCTTATGGACTTGCCTTGCCAGGATAAAAGGGCGTGAGTCAGTGTGAGTGTGTGAGTGAGTTTGCAAGTGGGTGTGAGTAGGAATGAGCAAGGGGCGAACACGAACATGTTCGTGTTCGCCCCTACACGAACACATCCGTTTGCCGAACCGAACAGTGTTCGGTTCGGCGAACACTTTTAGGAAAAACAGGTGTTCGCCGTTCGCATGTGAAGGCGTGTTCGGGCGAACCTCGAACACGTTCGTGTTCGTCGCGGGGCAAATTGCAGCAGCAGCCCGAACACGAACGTGTTCGGGCGAACCTCGAACACTGTTTGGCGAACACTGTTTGGCGAACACTGTTTGGCGAACACTGTTTGGCGAACACTGTTTGGCGAACACTGTTTGGCGAACACTGTTTGGCGAACACTTTAAGCAAAAAAAACAATCCTGTTCGGTTCGCCTCGAACTGTTCGTTTTTTTGCTCAACCCTAGGTGTGAGTGAGGGTGTTTGTGTCTGTGTGTGAGTGAGTGAGTGAGTGAGTATTTTCTCAGTTCTTTGCCTTTCCAACTAACTTCCTCTTCGTGCTGCTGCTGCTGCTGCTTCATCCCCTTTATTCCCCACCCCAGCTATGTAGTAGCCTGCAATGCTATTCGAGCGGAGTGGAGCGTGTTCACCAAGGCATGCTTCACCTCGCACACCAACCTGCTAACCGTGCTGCTGCTGCTGCTGTTACCCCCCCCCCCTCGTTCCTCCCCATGCCAGGTACGCCGTGGCACCCAACGCCATAAGGACGGAGTGGAGCGTGTTCACCAAGGCCTACTTCACCTCGCGCACCAACCTGCTAACCGTGCTGCTGCTGGTGCTATGTTATCCCCTCCCTTACACCCCCTCCCCACACTCGTGCAGATATGCTGTTGCCCCCAATGCCATCCGCACGGAGTGGAACGCTTTTACCAAGGCCTACTTCACCTCGCGCACCAACCTGCTCACCGTGCTGCTGCTGGTGGATGCTACTATTCCGCCCCAAGCCATTGACGTGGAGTGCGCTGATTGGCTGGGGAGGAACAAGGTAGGTGGCGTTGACCTGGGTTGACTTGGGTTGACCGTCGCGCACCAACCTGCTCTCCGTGCTGCTGTTGGTCGATGCCACTATTCCGCCTCAAGCCATTGACGTGGAGTGTGCTGATTGGCTGGGAAGAAACAAGGTGAGTAGCGTTGACTCGGGTTTACTTGGATTGACCCGGGTTGGCTTGGGTTGACTTGGGTTGACTTGGGAGCACATGTGTCCGTGCGGAGTTTTGGGGACTTGTGTTGGCTTGTGTTGACTTGTGTTGACTTGTGTTGACTTGAGTCCACTCGGGAGCACTTGTGTCCATGTGGACTTTTGAGGACTTGTGTTGTTTGGGCGTGTGTGTTCATGTGGTGTCTAGGCGCTGCATCGTCCTTTCTCCTCCCCCCTGGATCCCCCTCACGGTTGTCTCCACCAAGTGAGATCGCCAGAACAAGGCCAGGAGGAAAGCTAGAAGGGCACAATGGCAGACGGGCAGAAGGCGAGGCGCTTATCTTGATTCTCCCACATTTGCACCCCATCTCCTCTCTCTCCCCAGACCCCCCTCACCGTCCTCTTTACCTAGTCCGATCGCCAGAAGAAGGCCAGGAGGGACGGTGTTGATCCTTCCCCTTACTTACCCCCCTCTCCCACGTGTGTGTCCCCATTGCTCCCCAACGAACTCCCATCTCCTCCCACCAGATTCCCCTCACCGTCCTCTTCACCTAGTCCGATCGCCAGAAGAAGGCGAGGAGGAACGTAAGAAGGGCACAAGGGCAGGAGGGCAGAAGCGCAGACGGAGAGGTGCTCATCCTTATCCTCCCACATGTAGTGAGTCGACTCAAAAATCGACCCACATGTGCCTCGTCCTTCTCGACCCACATGTGCCTCGTCCTTCTCGACCCACATGTGCCTCGTCCTTCTCGACCCACATGTGCCTCGTCCTTCTCGACCCACATGTGCCTCGTCCTTCTCGACCCACATGTGCCTCGTCCTTCTCGACCCACATGTGCCTCGTCCTTCTCGACCCACATGTGCCTCGTCCTTCTCGACCCACATGTGCCTCGTCCTTCTCGACCCACATGTGCCTCGTCCTTCTCGACCCACATGTGCCTCGTCCTTCTCGACCCACATGTGCCTCGTCCTTCTCGACCCACATGTGCCTCGTCCTTCTCGACCCACATGTGCCTCGTCCTTCTCGACCCACATGTGCCTCGTCCTTCTCGACCCACATGTGCCTCGTCCTTCTCGACCCACATGTGCCTCGTCCTTCTCGACCCACATGTGCCTCGTCCTTCTCGACCCACATGTGCCTCGTCCTTCTCGACCCACATGTGCCTCGTCCTTCTCGACCCACATGTGCCTCGTCCTTCTCGACCCACATGTGCCTCGTCCTTCTCGACCCACATGTGCCTCGTCCTTCTCGACCCACATGTGCCTCGTCCTTCTCGACCCACATGTGCCTCGTCCTTCTCGACCCACATGTGCCTCGTCCTTCTCGACCCACATGTGCCTCGTCCTTCTCGACCCACATGTGCCTCGTCCTTCTCGACCCACATGTGCCTCGTCCTTCTCGACCCACATGTGCCTCGTCCTTCTCGACCCACATGTGCCTCGTCCTTCTCTACCCACATGTGCCTCGTCCTTCTCGACCCACATGTGCCTCGTCCTTCTCGACCCACATGTGCCTCGTCCTTCTCGACCCACATGTGCCTCGTCCTTCTCGACCCACATGTGCCTCGTCCTTCTCGACCCACATGTGCCTCGTCCTTCTCGACCCACATGTGCCTCGTCCTTCTCGACCCACATGTGCCTCGTCCTTCTCGACCCACATGTGCCTCGTCCTTCTCGACCCACATGTGCCTCGTCCTTCTCGACCCACATGTGCCTCGTCCTTCTCGACCCACATGTGCCTCGTCCTTCTCGACCCACATGTGCCTCGTCCTTCTCGACCCACATGTGCCTCGTCCTTCTCGACCCACATGTGCCTCGTCCTTCTCGACCCACATGTGCCTCGTCCTTCTCGACCCACATGTGCCTCGTCCTTCTCGACCCACATGTGCCTCGTCCTTCTCGACCCACATGTGCCTCGTCCTTCTCGACCCACATGTGCCTCGTCCTTCTCGACCCACATGTGCCTCGTCCTTCTCGACCCACATGTGCCTCGTCCTTCTCGACCCACATGTGCCTCGTCCTTCTCGACCCACATGTGCCTCGTCCTTCTCGACCCACATGTGCCTCGTCCTTCTCGACCCACATGTGCCTCGTCCTTCTCGACCCACATGTGCCTCGTCCTTCTCGACCCACATGTGCCTCGTCCTTCTCGACCCACATGTGCCTCGTCCTTCTCGACCCACATGTGCCTCGTCCTTCTCGACCCACATGTGCCTCGTCCTTCTCGACCCACATGTGCCTCGTCCTTCTCGACCCACATGTGCCTCGTCCTTCTCGACCCACATGTGCCTCGTCCTTCTCGACCCACATGTGCCTCGTCCTTCTCGACCCACATGTGCCTCGTCCTTCTCGACCCACATGTGCCTCGTCCTTCTCGACCCACATGTGCCTCGTCCTTCTCGACCCACATGTGCCTCGTCCTTCTCGACCCACATGTGCCTCGTCCTTCTCTCCCCTCACCTTCCCCCCAGATCCCCCTCACGGTCGTTTTCACCAAGTGCGATTGCCAGAAGAAGGCCAGGCGGAACGGTGTTGATCCTTCCCTGTGCTTACTCCCTCACCCCCGTCTCCTTTCTCTCCAGATCCCCCTCACGGTCGTTTTCACCAAGTGCGATCGTCAGAAGAAGGCCAGGAGGAACGGTGTTGATCCTTCCCTGTGCTTACCCCCCCAACACCCCCCCACCCCACCCTCCCATCTACCCCCACCAGATCCCCCTCACGGTCGTGTTCACCAAGTGCGACCGTCAGAAGAAGGCTAGGAGGAACGTCAGAAGGGCACGGCGCACGCGACCAGAAAGAGAGGTGCTTACACTAATTTCCTTGTCTGTCCTCCCCCTCCTCCCCTTCCTTCCCCCCCAGATCCCCCTCACTGTCGTGTTCACCAAGTGCGACCGCCAGAAGAAGGCCAGGAGGCAAGACTGCCACTCTCCCATTCACCAGGTGTCAATACTCCCCCTCCCGCATGCACCTGCCTTTCCCTCCCTTCCCCGGCAGATCCCCCTCACGGTCGTGTTCACCAAGTGCGACCGCCAGAAGAAGGCCAGGAGGAACGGCCGCCCGCCAGCTGTCAACGCGGCGCTGTTCCGCGCTGAGCTGGCAGAGTGCTACGCTGAGCTGCCGCCGTGGGTGATGACGAGCGCTGTGACTAGCGAGGGGAAGGATGCTCTGTTGAGCCATATTGCCCAATTGCGGGAGTACTGGCGGCGGTAGTGTTGTGGAATCTTGGTGCTAGGCTTTAAGGGAGTGCTACTCTGAGCTGCCGCCGTGGGTGATGACGAGTGCGGTGACAGGGGAGGGGAAGGATGCCTTGTTGAGCCATATCGCCCAGCTGAGGGAGTGCTGCCGGCAGTAGTGGCGGGGTTTGGTGCTGAGTGCTGGGCTATCAGGGAGTGCAGCTGAGCTGAGCTGAGGTGGCGGCGTGGGGAGGGGGAAGGACACTTAGTTGAGCCACATTGCCAAGCTGTGGGAATATTGGCAGAGGTGTTTTGGTATGTTTGGTGTGGTGTGGTGTGGTGTGGAGTGGTGTGGGGCGGTGTGGAGCGGTGTGCTGTTACTGTACAAAGCTGCTGAGGTCACGCTGCTCGGGTGTGTGCAGTGCTGACACCATGGGGAATGACGACGAGTGTACTCCGAGGGGAGGAGATGGATGCCTCCTTGTGGCCGGGCAGCGCCTGGCTGAGGGAGTACTGACAGACAGCGGCTGATTCATCATGATTTGCTGAGCCTGGCCTAGAGGTGCTTCTCAGATGCACCTCCGGAGTTGGATTGCTTAGGATTGGATGCTGTTTTAGCAATGTTTGCACACTGGCACCTGTAGGATGGAATTATTTCTAAAGTTTGCAGCACTTGAAAAATGATGGCACTTCATATTGTCAGGGACTCAGGCATGCAGCACTGACAAGAATGTCAGCTGACAATGTGTGACCTAACCGAGTACCGGTTCCGTAGAATGAACAGCAATCAAGTGTCCCAGGCTGTATGCACACGGCACGTTACGGTAAGGTATGGAATGGTACTGTGCGGTAGGAGTACGACAGGTGTAGTATGAGACTGTAGCACCCCATGGTTTGTGTGCGGTGCCCGGGCCCACTAAGCAATCACGCCAGGGGGGTATATATGTGTGTGTGTGTGTGTGTGTGCATTGATGGAGCATACGCAGAGAGGTGAGTGCGGTGGGGGATCAAGCGAGGTAGTTGTAGATCTGAGCGTTGCTCTTGTCTCTCTCGAGGTACTCGCGGTCGATGAGGCTCTCTATTCGCTTCTTCAGATCCGCTGGCTTGATCGGGAACTTGAGCTGCGGAGACAGGGAGAGACACACATGGACACATAGGCACACGGACATGTGAAAGTTGGGATTGAACCATTAGTTTCATTAGGTAACAAGCAAGCATACATAGATGGGAAGAGAAGCTTGGAAGGGAAAGGGAGGGGGGTGGAACTTGGGGGAGTGGGCCAACCTATGGCCCAATGGGTTGGGTTGGCCTCACTTGGGGGAGTGAGGTGACCTATGACCCATTGGGTTGCATTTGGGGGCTCCACCACAATTGGGTTGGATTGGCACCCCAACATGCAAGGCTACACCCAATGTTGGGTGTAGTCCCAACCCAACTGTACACCACACTTGGTGTACAGTCACAAGCGTTAGCATGCTATAATATATAATTCTAACAGGACACACATAGAAACAGAAAGAAATTGAGAAACAAGCTAACAGAGCACCTCAGAGCTGCACACGATTTGAGAGAGACAGAGAGAGTGATCTAGACGCACAACTACAACGACACAGTGACACAGCAACAAATACATGCATGCGAGTAAACGTGCATGCGAGCACACGTGCACGCGAGCACACGTAAGTGCGTGTGGCTGAGCACTTTACGAGTGTTCCCACCCTCTGAGTCAACAAATTAACAACCTCAGGCACACCTGAGAGTGCACCGCTCCCTCTAAGAACACCCACCTGTTATAAGAGCTCTGTGATGAGCAGCGTGTGGCTGAGCACCGGGAGTCGTGGATGTAGACCAAATGGGAAACGCACTGAGTGAGAAGAGGAGGAAGGAGCAGCACATGAGAGCGCAAGAACACACACCTGTTGGAAGAGCTCTGTGATGAGCAGAGTGTGGCTGAGCACCTTCCGAGTCTTCATGATTCGCACAATAGCTGCATCAATCTGCCAAACGGTTCAGGGGGGTTGGGATGGAACGATCATGAGTCCATTGCACATGCAGCAACTAACATGACTGTTTCATGCGGCAAAAATCAAAGGAAGGCACTGCCTATAAGGAATACTTGGTCTTGTCCTTGAAGAGTATGATTCTGCCTATAACGACTACCAGCTGCCACCTATAACGAGTACCTGGTATTGCCTATAGGCTATAACGAGTACCTGGTATTGCCTATAACGAGTACCTAGTATTGCCTATAACGAGTACCTGGTATTGCCTATAACGAGTACCTGGTATTGCCTATAACGAGTACCTGGTATTGCCTGTCTTGGAAGACCCTCTCCGTGGTGTTGGTGTTCTCCTCTGGCGTCTCCTTCAATTGAATGGCGTTCACCTACAGTCACACACACGAATGAAGCATGTAAGAGGCACACATGCAGTAGACACACACAGGAGCATTGTAATCTGTATCCACAGCTTTGAGACGTCTCAAAACTCCTCTGGCGTCTCCTTCAATTGAATGGCGTTCACCTACAGTCACACACGTGAATGATGCATGTAACACGCACGCATGCAGTGAACACGCAAGAGCATTGTACATTGTGATCTTAACCAAACCAGCAAAACGTGACAACACAACACACAATGGGTCACACACACCATAACTTGAGACAGTTTTGCATTGAGACGTAGTCAAGGGTGTTAGCTTGCGCGTATACCCCTCAACTGCCTCGCGCATTCTAACTCCATTGCTCGCTCGCACCTTGAGTCGGAACAGAGATGCTGTGAAATCCGTGTTGAACTCAAACTACTTTTGATGGTTCTTTTGAGAATTCTCAAAAGCACTCAAACTACATTTGAGGCGCCTCGAAAGTCAATCCCACTGCTCGCACCTTGAGTCGGAACAGCGATGCTGTGAAATACAGTGCAAGCTGTGTGCTTGCGTGTTCACCCTTCAAGTTTCCCACACATGGTCATCCCATTGCTCGCTCGCACCTTGAGTCGGAACAGCGATGCTGTGAAATCCGTGTTGAACGCAAACTAGTGATGAGGCGCCTCAAAAGTCAATCCCACTGCTCGCTCGCACCTTGAGTCGGAACAGCGATGCTGTGAAATCCGACTTTTGAGTTGAGGCGCCTCAAAGGCCATTGCTCGCTCGCACCTTGAGTCGGAACAGAGATGCCGTGAAATCCGTGTTGAACTCAAACTACTTTTGAGTTCAAAAGATGCTGTGAAATCCGTTGCTCGCTCGCACCTTGAGTCGGAACAGAGATGCTGTGAAGTCCGTGTTGAACTCAAACGAATCGGTGTCTGACACGTCACGGCCCTTGGGATTCTGCAGGCATGTGGGTAGACGGTTTGGAAAAGACAGAAGCACACGAACGCCTGTATGACTTAAGAATGGAACGAATCGGAGTCTGCCACGTCAAAGTCCCTGTGAACCTGTGTTGCAGAAGACACAATGGAGAGTGAACCTGCAGCAGCAAAACATGAAATGATGTGAAATGTGAAGGAGGTGCAGGGAAAGGGGCAAGATGGGGAAAAGTGCAGTGTGGTGCATTGGGGACAGAAGTGTGGTTGAGAAGTTGGGATGCTTAAAATTCATATTATACCCTGTTCATTGCACTGCACAGCAGCGCTGCACAGCACAGCACCACACCACACCGTACCTTCTGCAGCACCCCGGTCTTGCCGCACGCCAGCGACTGCAGAGTGCGTTTGAGCTCCGCATCGGTGATGCCCGTGGCGACCATTACAGCATGCACATACTTGCAACTGCACTGCACAACATGGTACCGCACTGAACCGCACAAGACCAGACCACAACACACCTTCTGCAGCACCCTGGTCTTCTTGCACGCCAGCGACTGCAGCGTGCGTTTCAGCTCCGCATCGGTGATGCCCGTGGCGACCATTACAGCATGCACATACTTGCAACTGCACTGCACAACACGGTACCGCACTGAACCGCACAAGACCACACCACAACACACCTTCTGCAGCACTCTGGTCTTGCCGCATGCCAGTGACTGCAGCGTGCGCTTGAGCTCCGCGTCGGTGATACCCATGATGCTCACAATATGCACCACATTGCAACCGTACCGCACCACACACCACCGTACCACACTGCACCGCACCATACTGCACCGCACCATAATGCACCGCACCGTACCTTCTGCAGCACTCTGGTCTTGCCGCATGCCAGTGACTGCAGCGTGCGTTTGAGCTCCGCGTCGGTGATGCCCGTGGCGTCTCGAATCTCCGCGAAGGAGAGGCGGTCAGCGTCGTTGAATAGCATCAGCACCACGGTCTGGGGAAAAGGTGTGGGTGCGGTACAATCAGGTTGGGGGAGGAGGGACAAAGGGTGATGCCCGCGGCATCTCGAATCTCCGCGAAGGACAGGCGGTCAGCATCGTTGAAGAGCATCAGCACCACGGTCTGGGGGAAGGGGGCAATCAGGAGAGGTCGGATGAGAGAGGAATGATTGAAGAGCATGCACTAAGGATAGGCGGTCCTTTGCTGTTGAACAGCATCAGCACCACGGTCTGGGGGAAGGGTGGGGTGGGGGTACTTGCAGTGCCGTCAAGATAGGAGAGAAATGGGGCAAGGAGGAATCAATGTGCGCAAACGACAGGCGGTCAGCGTCGTTGAACAGCATCAGCACCACGGTCTGACAGTCATGGCAGGGAGTTTTGACACGAGAAGGGGGGTATTGGCAACCACGAGTGAGAGGGGTGGGGGAGGGGGATTGCTGTGCCATGGGGACCAGAGAAGCGAGACCTAGCAGTACCACACACTACCACACAGCACCGCACAGCACCACACGGTACCTGGAAGAGCGCTCCTTCTTCTCCTTGGGAAAATTTGCTCGCAACGCGCAGTGCCCCAGGCTGTGCTGCCACATGAGCACCAGAGAAGCGAGACCTATGCAATACCGCACAGCACCACACAGCACCGCACAGAACCACGCACTACTGTACAATACCGCACAGCACCACAAAGTACCTGGAAGAGCGAGAGTGAAAGCTCCTTCTTCCCCTTGGG